TACTAACTTTGCTAAGTAGGCTAAGGATCTTATTAGTATCTTTATGCTTTACCTCCTTATAGATTAACGCACTTATCTTCCGATAGTCTTATATAGTAAGTAAGCTACTCGTAGAAGGCCTAGAACCTATAGAAGGCCTTAATAGTAGGTTTGAATCGCTTTATAGCTTCGGCAATAGTAGCTTAGATAGGACTACTTCCGGATTAAATAGATAAATACTAGTCTTCTTAAAAGCAGACTTAATATTATAAGGTGTTAGTGCTAGTATCTAGGCTTGCTAGAAGAGTATAAAGAAGGCCCTCTTTATAATACCTTATATTGCTTATAACCTATATAGATAGGCGTTTAAAGCGGTTAAATACTGCGAGGCAAGGGGTACGAATATAGCTATATCTAGTAGTTATAGCCGGTATATTAAATAAGGCGGATATACGCCTACTAATATCTTCCTTTTAAGAGCCTAGTTAATAAACTTTATAGTTAAATAAGAGCCGTGTCTATTAACTATAAGTAGCCTCTAATCGCGACTATTACAAGCCTTCTTCTTTTTAAAACGGTCGTATACTTTAGTTAACTATTTGAAGCCGAGTTTATCTAAAGTCTAGCCTATTAGAGAGGTTATAAAGAAGGCTATATACTTGTCTAGGTCTATATCTTCTACCTAGGTATCCTAAAGATTGCTAGGTTAAGCCTTATAGATTAGTATAGGCGGAAGGCTTATAAGGTTAGCGGAAATAGCTACAATATAGGTTATCTACTCTCTATTACTATCCTATAGGTGTCCTATAAGCTATCTACTCTTAACTACGTTCTTTAAGAAGTATCTTATTGCCTTGCTTAAGACCCTAATTATAAAGCCCTTCTCGTCTATATTTATAATATTCTTTAGCTTAATATCGTACTTATTAATAGCCGCTTATAACTTCTCGAAGTACTAAGTATAGGAGAGATAGCTATCCGCCTTCTTACGAGCCTTATCTAAGTTGCTAATTTATGCTAAATCTAGGTATTCCCTCTACCGGTATTTAAAGCGAGTAGGCTAGTTCTTTCTAGGTATATTACTACAGATTTCGTAGGCGAAATTGCGTATTATTACGGCGGTCGGAGGGAGGGCTAACTTAGTAAGAATATTAATATAATCGCAGAGGGTTTGTTCTTATTATAGTATTAGTAATTGCTGTTCTTTATACTGCTACTACTTAGTTCTAGCTTTGCTATTCTATAGCTTGCTTAACTTTATACGCTTAACAGAATATAGCATGCTTCCTTATAGTAGTAGAAATATTCGGCTTCTTCTGCTCTTTTAAATTAGCTATTATACGCTAATATTGCTAGTCTATATCTATAGTTATAGTTGTTAGAAAATAGAAGGCCGACTTTCGAGAAAGTTAAATCGAGGCATGCGATAGGCGGGGCTATACGGCAGGTAGAGAAGACTTCTAGGGCTTCGCGGTTAACGCTACTAATACGGTCTTAAGTAATAATAACGGCTCTAGCGTCGTGCTATACTTGCTACTATTTAGGTCGTCTTATATCGCTAACTAGCTAAGCGATAGTTTATAGGCCTACTAGAATAGTTAGTATTTAGTGCTAAGAGCTTACTCTATAATACTAACTACCTCGAGAATCTAGTAGGTCCTTCTAAACGGCCTTTATACCGTCGTTAGTCGCTAATCTATCTACAAACTCGAGACTATACGAATAACCTTCCTTTAGCGATTCTAGCTCGACGTAGAGCGGCCTAATAACCGTTAAATTAGTAGGTAGAGCCTTCGGTACGTAGTTATCGAGAAACTCGCCTAAATAGGCCTTAGGCCGCTTCTCGTAGACCTTAATAATAGATAACTTCGTACGGTAGTCGTCTAAGGGCTTCGTTCGCGCGATACGTTTTCTACTAGGCTTAGTAACGACTATACCCTTAGAAGCCTTAGAAGCCTTAGAAGCGCGCTGTTTACGGTCTACGCGGTTATAGTCTATATAGCGCTTATAAATACGATATTTAAGGCTTAATCGTCGATATAGGCGGTTATTATCGTAGTCTACTAATAACTTCCTAGGTCGATCTTTATAATACTATATATTCGATACGAAATAGCGGTATTCGTCGTATTCGAAGCCTTCTACTCGATAAATACCGTTCTTACTACCTATAGGGTAGAAGAATAGGCGCCTTCGATTATATAGATTTAGTAGAAACAGGCTCTTAAACTATAGTAACAATCTACTTAGTTATAATCTACTCGGTTATAATCTACTTAGTTATAATACGGTCTATAGTACGTACCGGCCGCTCTACTTCTAGCTTACTAAGTAATAACTTAATATCCTTAGGAGATAGGTATTTAGCGTACGATAGCTTGGCTATTATAAAGAGCGTAGAATTAGCGATAGTAAGGTTAAAACAAGCGCGATACGTAACGCAAGCAAGAGGTAGAATAGGTCGATAAATAAGAAGTAGAAATAGCCGCTATATAAGGTCTAGTTTAGCTTCCTTATTTATAGGCCTATACTATACAATTATAAGGCTTTAAATTAGCTCTAAATTAGACCTCTTAGCGGTCTATATATAGCCTATTAATAACTATAGAAGTAGTTAAGCGGCCTTACAAACCTAGCCGCTATAGCGGCGCGATCTGTACCCTTGTCTCAGTTAATATACTTATACCTAAAGGGTAAAGCGTAATAATAGATCTTTTCGTTATTATTTTAGTAGAATTGTTAAGAAGGCTACGATAGCTTTTTACTTCCTTAAGTATTAGAGATCGGGACGTATATATTTATATCCTTATCCGGAAAATCGCAGATCCGTTAGCGGAGCGGTTCGTACCTTCTATCTCGATAAAACGCAAATTTTTTACCCTTTACTACTTTCTTTCTTTCTTTATATAACTCGTGCTTATTCTTATAAAGTCGATCCCTTTTAGCGACTTTGTAGAGACTCGGGTTTTGTAGGTATACTATAATACGGTAATCTCTGCTAGTAAGGTTAGATAAAGCAGGATCTAGAATATCGGTTCTTAATAGCCGGAAAGAAAGAAAAAACATACTATTTTTATCCTTTATACTTAGCTTCCTCTCTATCTAGATTTATAGATAGCGCTAGTACAATCTCGTATAAGCACTTTACTAATAGGAACAGAGAATCTGCTTTCTTCTAAGGAAATCTATAACCTTTATTAGGCAGTAGACCTTCGAGACCGTAATAGCCTAAAGTAGGTCTAAGCAAAGTATTAGTACTTATATTTATATAAGCCTCGTCGTCCGCTTAAGCTTTACAAACTCTTCCTACGGTCCCTATTAATTACTCCGCGGTCGATACTAAGAAAGCTATACTATAGGCTAAAGTGCCTCGACGTAAGATTAATTCGACTTAAGGTAAACTTATTAATACTACTAATAAGTCTCCCTCGAATAGTAGCGAAAAGACCCTAGCGGTAGCTATAGTAGTAGAATTATCCGAAAGAGCTAGTCGACGACAAGTAACTATAATTAACTTATAAGCATTCGATTCTATTAACCTAGTCGACTAATCTAGTACTCGAGACTCCTTCGCCTACTAGTATATCGGACAACTCGCTTAAGCTAAAACCTTTAACGATAACAAGGAGGACGAAGATAAAGCCTTTAACTTCTCTTTCCCTCTATCGCCTATCTCTTTATATATATACCCTATCTCTAATCTTGCTAACGAAGCTTAACGCCTCGAAAGTATAGATCTCGGGGACCGCTTTATTCTATCCTTTAGGGAACCCTATAGCCGGTATACGTAGCCGATAGACCTAATACTATCTACTAATAGTTTCCTAGCTACCGCTCTACGTTAGATCCGAAGGTACTAATATACAGTAGACCTTCCTATTCTAAAAGCTCCTTTTTCTCGTCTCGTTCGCGAGCTTACTTAGGATATAGTAGTAGACCTTCGCCTATAGAAGGGCATACCTAAGGCACTTTAAGAGGCTACTAAGGCCTTCCTAGTTATAGTCCTTTTAGGTACTTTCCTACATCCCTATACTATATACATCTACTAACTTTTTTATAGCTATAAACCTCTACGCTATCTACGTAAAGCGTATTACTCTAGAGGACAAGGATATTAAAGTCTTAAGACAGGTTCTATCGTACTTTAGTATCTTTGTTTAGGTATAAGAGAAGGGGTTTCGAAAGGCTAGGTCTTAATAGAAAGAAACAATAGTAGCCCTATATAGTTAGTATTTAAGATCTTAAGTAAAGAAGACTCTACGAGTCTATATAAACGTATAGAAGTAGTGTTCTCTATCGTAATTCCTACTATTCTCTATATCTCCTAAACTAGTAGATTTTATAGTTCGAACTATAACTAAAACTAGTTCCTTAGTATTAGAACCGTACGGCTAGTTCCGGTTCCGGCTTTTAGAACTAAACTAAACCGAACCGAACTACTAGGAGGTCTACGCTTTCTACTTCTTACTAGAGCTAGTAAGTACTAGTAAGTCGCTTTCTTTACTACTATTATTAAGTCTCTTACGCTTTATAGGAGCTATAGTCGTAGTCTTAGATAGTAATTCTTAATATAGAAGGGCTTAGTAGGGAAGTATATTACGAAGAATAGGACGTTAGAAGAGTACGACGTCTTAGATAAGATTTGTAAGTTGCTAGATAGATAACGTTACGTAGGTAAGCTTTTATTATTTAGTATAGTAACTATAGCTAGGTAATAGCTATAGGCTATTACTAGAGTAACTGCGATATAGTAGTAGATAGTAGACTAGTCTATATAGCTAGTAGGTATAGCTAGTAGTTATTAAGAGTAGTATATATAGAGGAACCGGCAAATTTCCTAGTTCGAACTAGTTTTCTATATAGTTCCGAGAAACCGAACCGGAACTAGGAACTAGTTTCCCTACTTTAGAACTAAACTATATCTACTTTTCTAGTTCTAAACCGAACTACTAGAGGTTTATAAGGTCTGTAGAGTTAGCACTAGGGGATCTAGGGGCTTGAAATACGACTCTAAAGTACCAATGCTGCTGGATTTGAACGTTGCATCGATTTCTTCGGCTAGAATAGCCTTAATTGCAGCATTAAGTGCATCTTAAGCGGCATCTGGGGTGCAGACTTGAGCTTCCATCTTGACAGACTCTGCAGTTCTGGAAGTGAGCAACGCGGACAAAGCAGATGGAGGAATATTCCTGCTGTGGTGGATGTACTACAATACATCAAGCTTGTCGATAGCAGTAGTTTGATTCGGCCTTTGAAGGCGATGTCGGCCGGCTGCGATAGGGTCTCGTGTCGTGTCAAGCTGTCCAATCATGGTGACGCCAAGCCTAAAATGAGGCTAAGCTACTCGAAGTGGCCAGCTACAGCCACTTCGACGGAATTTTCGCTTCAATGCCGTGCAGGTCGGTCTGCAAGTGTTGCAGTATGACGGAAAGTTTAGGGAGCTGGCGTACAGGCGAGTAGTCGATACACTCCAACTGTAAAGACCTGGTCTTAGATTGCCATGCTGTTCTTATTCGAATAAGCAGAGCGATGGTAATGAGGAGTCACAGTCCGTACTGACCTGACGCCATGACGGCCATGTCTGTCGAGCCGCGTATTGCCGTGGTTATGGTACGCCTCTCGTCCACTTTCCGCCTTCGTATCCAGTGATTTGCCAAGGCACTCCGTCCGATCCGTCTTGCTGTATACCCAGCATCCATCCCAGAGTATCTGGCATAACGTACTCCCACGTCACACGGAAGACTTTGCGCCAGTTCTCATGGAATGTGGACTTGGTAATTTTGCTCGCGATCTCGACCATGTTGTCGAAATCGCTCTCGCTTGGACCGGGACGATTCCATCCCAGAAACTGTACGCTTTGCGTCGAGTGATCCGTGTGGTCGACGACGAAGCCATGACATAGTTGCTTATTCACGACCTTGGTCTCGTCCAGAAGGAAATACTCGCAGAGCGCTTTGATGAAATGGTGACCCGTTGCTTTCTGACCTCCGACTGTTTGCCATGGACAGATCACGATTGCTCTGTCTTTCAGATCTTGCCTTGTACGGATTGTCTCAACATCTCCTTGCATGCCTTCAAATGTTCGGTCCAGGCACCATCGAACCGCGTTCCTGCATGAGACTTCAAAATTGTTTGGCACCTGGAACATCTTCATTTCCGTCATCCTGTCGGGTAACTCGAGGCGGCCATCAAGGTGAGCGGCGAAGCAGCGATTTTCGTCGATCGGTATGTAGACGCCTACGCATGTGATGCAGCCAGTCGTGCCAATCTTGGTCGTGTTGAAAATCTGACCTTCCTCCGACTCGCATTTTACTGGAAGAGTAAAGATACCGCCCTCTCCTTGCCGGAGATACAGAACTCCTTTGTCCGCCTTTGGCTTGTGGTTCTTGACTTTACCACTAGTCTTGTGGTGATGTACGCTGGGCAGACTCCGCTGTTGTCGGGCAGCGTTTTGGAATCGCATGGCTGGCTTCTTGGAGGAGACTCTGAATGCCATCTTGTTCACCAGAGGAAGTTAAATGACAAAGTCAGAGGAACCGCGGTGGGAATTTGCTTTCGGAGATCGCAAAGGAAGGAAGCAAGGCAGGCGATATGCTGAGAAAGATGTATACAAGTTGACGGGCCTCTTTGACTTGTCATTTTCAACACATCTCGTTGTGCTTGGGGTCTCGTTTGCGCCGAATGCAGGCCTCCGTTCGTGATACTCGGCGACCCGCATCCGCACATGGCTCGTTTGCAACTTGCGACTGTCCACGTGGGAGTCGTGTGAACCATCGAATATGAGAAGCTTACATGTAACTTGCCTTCATTACGCAGCTTCGATATCGTTGCCCACGGAAGCAGGACAAAGCACATGTTTTGCAATATCAATGTGAGACTAATACTGTCCAGCAAATGACCTGTCGTGCTCCAGAGTCACGTCGAGAATAGGTCTTTGGCTTCCCGACCTCAACCTGGAAGAGTCCTGCAGAAGGTGCATGCACAGCTTTGCATCGCCAAACCTAGGCCATGGCAGTGAACACAGAATCATTTTCCGGCAGGTGATCGCTGAGAAGGCATCTGTGTAAATCTGAGCAGCCTCGGCATGTCTCTCGGGTTCGAATTTAAGGCTTTGCTGGCGGGTACAACCAAAAGTGTCGATCTCCAGCTAGAAGAAACTATATGCCTCTTCTGGTAGTTTTGGATGCAGGCACACTGCTATAGTTGTAACTAGCAAAGCAAAATCAGTAAGTGATAGAATACCGAGCGCTCCGAGGCATCAATGCCTCTATAATATGTCTTTCGTTCGCAGCTGCTTAGAGGGTCAACGGAGCACAGAACGCACTCATCATGAAAGACCTCAAGAACCTTCTCGCTCTGCTGAGCATCGGCGTACTGTCGACTGCAGAAGCTCAGAGTTACTGCCAGGAATTCAACATCCCTCAGTGGCAATGCGATGTCTGCGGAGGCGAGATCTCCAGCACCGGTCCAGTCCAATGCTCGCCGCTCAATGCCACAGTAAGACCGCATCCCCAGATGTCTTCGCTACAACCCACTGACATTTCCCAGTTCGATGAAATCCAGGCTGGCCAGCCTGTAGGGATCTACAAGTCTGCCAAATGGCAAGGCTTCACTGTTGTTGCAGGCGGGCCATCACCGCTGCCACACGTCGAGCCATTCTCCAAGCCGAACGACGCCAGTGTCGGCGCTGGGAAATCAGGAATCGTTACCTTTGGATACTCGGACGGTGTTGCCCCCGGTCCACCAGCACAGTACCCATTCGGCAATCTGTACTCCTTCCACTATGGTTGCACGGTGCGCAATTCCTCAGCGCTCGCACCCCAGGCCGTCCCTGGAGACTGCAAGATCACCGTGAAGGCACAGTGTAAGCCAACCGGAGATCTTATTGATGGCCAGACTCAGGAGTTCGACTACGATGTCACCTATATCCCGAACATGAACAATAGCATGAGCTTCCACCAAGGCGATCCGGCCCGAGATGCAGGATACGCATGCTCGAACTACACATTCTCGGCGGTGGACCTGCTAAATTTGCCTGTTCCGGATCTCTTGGTTGATTCTGTCCTCTACCGCACGCTGCGTGATCGTTGACGTCGGTGGAGAAGGATGAAAAGCGAAAAGTGTGATGGGAATGAAGACCTCGGACCAAGACAATCATCTTGGCGCTAGCTTCCAAAGTAGAAAGCGCCAAACTATAAATGTTTCAACGAATCATGACTCTCAGTCCTTTCGACAGGAGACCTCACTGCTCCATCTTCCTGTCAGCGCCGTGATGCTCGAATCCAATCCTCATATACCCAGCCGTGTCGGGATTGCGCCTGAAAATGCGTAGAAAGAAGTCGAAGAAGACACAGGGCCATACACATACCGCGCTCTCACAAAATGAAAGATTTGCAGATCGTGGAGGAGTCTGTTTACCACGCGGTGTAGCCGGCTGCACGATTGCGTTAGCAGCGAGAAATCGGCAAGGGCTTCTGCAAGGCTTACCATCGACCAAGAGAGAGGCGCCGGTCATGAAAGAGGACGCATCAGAGAGCATGAACAAAACCGCACCAGTGAACTCTTCTGGCTGGGAGATGCGGCCCAACATATTGCTTTCCTCCCAGAGCTTCTTGAGATGCGGCTCATCCTCGATATTCTTTTGAACCATCTATTCGCAGGGTCAGCAATAGTTCGACCTTTCCATCCAAGGGTCCATACCGGAGTCATGATATTCCCTGGACACAAGCTGTTCACCCGAATTGGCTTGCCACCGACAGCCTTAGACCACTGGTCGGCAAAGCTGCGCCCGAGGGAGATGACAGCGGCCTTGGATGCATTGTAGACGCTGCACGAGAGGCCCTTGTTCGAGATGAAGCCGCTCATGGATGCTACGAGTACGATCGAGCCTGGGCAGTCATACTTAATCATCTGCTTGGCGGCAGCTGTAGCGGTAAGGTGGACTCCCTTGACGTTGACTTCCAGCATCTGAGAAGCGCGTTAGTCGCGATCAGCACATGTTCTCACATACCTACCTCAGTGATCTTCTCCGGCGGATACTCCAAAGCCCGACAGATGTGCTGGATTGCCGCTGCAGCTACAAGACCATCGAAGCGTTGATGCTGGTCCGCAATCTCGGCGAAGACCTTTTCCTGCTCCTGAGCATCGCGGACATCCAGATGATGGTAATTCAGGCTACCGCAGCCGGCAGAATTATCGACCAGCTCCTTCGTCTCGAAGAACTCAGCCGCAGGGATGTGGAGTACATCAAGACAGTATACGTGCGCGCCTAGTTTCGCAAGGTAAGAGGCGATAGTCAGTCCGAGGCCTCTACCCCCGCCGGTAACAGCATACACTCTTCCTGTGACATCGAATCCAGGTGGCGCAGGCGAATTTGGTGCCTTAGACAAGGCAATCTTCGAGTCTTTGCGCTGGTTGGTAAAGGACGACGGCGCGTTGATTGGTCGAGGGTTAGTTGAGTAAGACTTCTCTGTGGCTGAGAGAAGATATGCGGAAGTGATTGGCCATTGCGGTGCTCGACGATTCAAGAGCCGCGATGGTGCAGTGCCAGCCGTCTTACTGGACCGGAGCGTAATCCGCAGGCCAAGGGTCGAGAGTCTAGCGCTACTCATGGTCGCGGTACGCCTATCTTGATGTGTACAGTATTGGGATTTCGAGGGTCGAATGTGGTTAAGTTTGGTGGCAGCTGGAGGTGCGGATGGTTGTGTCCAAGTACCTGCAAGGTTGAAAATGCTCTTTTAAGAATGGCGCAGTTGGTAAGTTTTCATGGAATAAGCCCCTGCGCGTGAGTGAAGCGGTCGATTCCGCTTGCTTGCGTGTTCACTCATGCGTTTAGCTCGTGAAGACTTGCTTGTGATCCAAAGAGCACGGATGTCTCTTCCGTATAGCGAGCGTCCTGTGACAAGCGGCCTGCAAACGGCAAGCGGGGCTCGACCACACGCGACTACCACGACTTCGTTCTTCATAGCCAGCTCCTTCAGCGCCTCACGATCCCTCGGCGCTTAGCCGTGAGGTACACACAATGTCACCTTCGAAACAGGGTTGCTGACGACCACGCCCAGGTCACCAAACCCCGCAAAGCAGGACTGGGCATACCAAAGCAGGCTGGTCATTATGACAAGACACATGGAATGGTCTTCCTCCTTTCCAATAGCCTTGGAGAGCGGTGCGAATGCGATGCTGCAGTTCTGGCAGTACGGAACCAGAGCCGATTCGCACGTGTGCTTGCAACTTGCATGAACGAGATACCAACATGCCGACCCATGTCAAGCGCCGAAGCTTAGTTCTTTCATGTTTATATTTTGCTCGGGCTGTCATCAAATCAATCGTACTTCGATGAAAAATGTCGTAGCCGGGAGGTCCTCGACGAATGAAGGTCACGATTTTCTGCGATTTTCCGTGGTATACCGTATGGGAAAGCACTCTGATCAATGACCGACACAAGCGCATATGATACGAGCATCATGCATAATCATTGCAGCCTTGTCGTTAGCTCCGGAGTCCGAACTCATCTCTCGTTTCGAAGCCTATGGACGTATGACGGAATTCCCGAAGTCGATGGCGGAGAAGGTAGGACGAGATCAATCCCGGGACTAATGGAATACAGCGAGCTGGAAAGCGCGATTCAACGGAAATGTGCGTGATAACAAGGCGCCTCACTCGTTTGCTGCTCATGAGCAAACCTTCAAGCCATGCTTACCCGCCTAGACAATTAAATGGGACAAGCAAACCACTTGGTTGCATGTGTTAGTTCTACAATTTCGATACGGCCGGAGCACATGCTAATGTGAGGAGACCATGGCGCTTCAATCTCCCTCGTTGAAGTCGTCCTCTTCAACGTCTTCAGCGACCACTTGCTGCTCCTCCTCCACCTCCTCCACCTCGTCTTCTTCCTCTGTCTTTCGTTTCCTCTTGCGCGACGGCGGTGGCAGCCCTTGCCTCGCTCGCTCTGCCGCCGTCCAGTCCCGTTTATGCCTCTTCTGAAACTTCCTCCACGCATCATCGTCCTCCCACGTCTCGGTTCGACGCTTGATCCAGCCTGGCACTCTCGGAACCACAATCCCCGTCTCTGGTCGACTGAAGAGGAAAGTTCTCCAGAGATCTGTCCCATACCCTTCACCAAGTCCCTTAGTAGCGAATGCGTTGAGATAATTTACAACATCTCGATAGCGCAGACCACGATCGTTTCTGAAAGGCCATCGTCCGTCTTCCCGATACCACCGGTTCGTGTTGTTACTGTATTTGTCCAAGCGAGCTTCACGCGGACCATTGGGATGTGAGAATTTGTAGAATTGCCAGGATCCTTGCATGGTCCGGACTGGTGGCTGAGTGAGGAACATATCTAGCATTGGTTCGTCTTCTGAGAATGTATCTGGACTGTACTTGAATCTGAGCTTCTCTAAATTTTTGCTGTCCTTGTTCTTGTACACGCCTTGGAAGAGAGCTGTGTTGGGAAACACGTCGGTCAAAAGCAGTTTACCCTCGCGTGCATCTTCTGGGTCTGCTCTGACTGTTTTGCCATTATATGGTTCTGCTTCCAAGAACAACGCCGTACGCATCTCCTTGGACTCGGCATTGTCAATGACGGCTTGCCAGTGCCGATCGACCTGTCTACAGCGAATGATTTCATGCGGCGCAAGGAATGTAATTACCAGCTCGAGCAGCTCATTGGTGTTGATTACTTCCTCGGCGCCGGGCCACTCGTAAAGGAATCGTAGCGGCCCTACATACGCTTCAGATGCCGGAGCTTTTCGTCGCCGTCGAGATGCCGTTGCCGGAGTGCTTGTAGGACCTGGAGCCGGACCGGTGCTCGCAGGCGTCAAGCCCAGATGTTGCTTACAGCAGACCGGGTGGCTACAGTTCCTTTTGTCCTTGCATTTGTGTTTGCATAACTTTGCCATGGTTTCGAATAGTGATTAAGAAGATTACAGAGAATGAACAGCCTGGCTGTAGTGCAAAAATGCGAAGGGTGTACTCTTTGTCGAACAGAGCGAGCGCTGCAGTCGAGCGCTTTGTCTTTCCGGATCCGGCGACGCACCTGGTAAGATAGCAGCGCAATCTTTTGGCTATAGCATCTCAAGTGACATTCATTGTTCGGACCTAGTAACACCGATAGACGAACCAACACGCTTTTTGATCTCGCTCCATGAGAAGTCTGGAGTCACTTACTGTACTGTACGTACTCAGTCTACGTCCGGCACAGGCAATCCATTCCAAAGCTTTGCCTTGATGCCAAGCTCCTTCATAGCATCCATCGCATTCTTTTCTCGTAGTTTTCTCGACTCCTCATCCGTCACAAGCACGAAATCGTACGTGATCAAACTCGTCCCAGCCTTCACACCATATTCCTTCACATGCTCTTCCGAGACCGTCTTCAAATCAATGAGCAAACTCTCTTTCACACCAAAGACCGCATCGGACGTCTCGTAAGGGTCGCCGCGTAGGTAAAGAGCTCTGCAGAAATATAATCAGCATGAGAATACAACAACATCACGACTTTGCCAAATCCCCAACAACTCACGTTATCAAATGATCATAACCCTCCTTCTCAAACATGAAATGCATATGACTAGGCCTGTAACAATGCCTCTTCAACTGCACCAACAATTTCCCCACAGGTCCATCATGAGAAATCGGGTAAGGCACAGGCGTGATGGCGTTGAACCAAAATACCCCATCCTTGTCAGAATGCATCACTGCTCTTTGATCGGGTCCTTCACGACCCGGGTATTGTACATCGTAGAAGCCTTTGGAGTCTGTTTCCCAAATATCGATCTTTACGCCTTCGATCGGCTTGCCCGCGGTGTCTTTTATTGTGCATACGACGAGACAGGGTTCGCCGTCGGGGTCATGGGCTATGATGGAGCCATTTGGTTGCGTCTCGGCTTCGTGCGAGTGGAAAGGACCGAGGACTGTGCCTTCGGTGCTGGAGGGGGGTTTGGGGTGATCGATTGAGTCGACGAGGAGGGAGAGGCCGAGGATGTCGGAGAGGAGGATAAACTCCTGGTGCAGGTTAGCATGAACTGTTTGACGTAATTTGAATTCTATCTTCACGAACCTGTCTGACATCGGTGCAGATCTGGCCAACTGATGTGAGAAAGAGTAGACCTGTCATCCATTCTTCATGACTGAGACGAGTTTCTCTTGCGAAGTCGTGGAGGTGTTGTACTATTCGTTCTAGTATGTATTTCAATCGTGGATTTGGGCATCTCGAGTTGATTAGCTTGACATTGTCTGTGATGTTGTCAATGGTGAGATCCTTGAGAGGAGGGACGTCCACTTGTGAAGCATCCATGGCGGAATGTTGAAAGAGGGATTGGAAGATGAAGAAGTCCAAAACAAGTTATTTTGTGTATGGACCTGAACAACTGGATAGCAGCGCAGGCTTGCCGTCTCACGAGCTGTCTTTTGTTAAAACATTGGACGTCGTTGGTCACGGAATGGACCCCGCCATGCTTTGAAACTCGAAATTGGGTTCCCGCAACTGCCGCGCGGGAGCTTCTCTCGGCTGATCGTGTTGTTGCTGTTGTTTTCACCAGCCTGGCCTGCATACAATAACTGAAACCGGTCCGACATCAGCAGAGAATCCAAGACAGACGTCATTACGAAGCTAATGATCTCAGTGAATCCCGTTGCTCATAATTGAAGAAGCCGATTTCCGTAATGACGATCAGGGCTTCAAAGCAGCTTTCTTTTCGATCTGCTGAGAAGCAAATTCAATTGCTGCTCGATAGCCGTACACACCCAATCCGCAGATGACCGCCACAGCCTTGTCGCTCAAGTAGCTGTGATGTCGAAAAGGCTCACGAGCATGGACGTTTGTGACGTGAATCTCCACGAATGGCAAATCGCAGCCGAGCAGCGCATCTCTCAGGGCGACTGAGGTGTGCGTCAAAGCTCCAGGATTGATGACTACGAAATCGACATTGCCTCGTGCCTCGTGTATGCGGTCGATGATGGCTCCCTCGTGATTTGACTGGAAGTCGTGAAGTGTGATACCGAGATCTTCTGCCTGCTTGACTGCTGCTGACTGTACATCTGCCAATGTGGTACTGCCGTAAATGTGTGGCTCTCGCGTGCCCAAAAGATTCAGGTTTGGTCCGTTGATAAGCAGTATGGCTTTGCCCATTCTTGCTGTTGGAGGTGCAAGAGTGTATCAGGATACTAGATCACTATTGTCAGAAGGCCAACTATATGGTAAAAGCCGTGCGAAGGTCAGTCAGAAGGGCAAGAGTCTTATCCCTCAGCAAATGCTGTAGCGCGTTTTCTGGATGAAGTATTTGCCGGCAATGTGCAAGTCTTTCGGGTACTCTCTCATCTGGTGTACTGGCTACCTGGGGCACCTCTTGCACTAGGTTTCGCTCGAATGCAATGAGCAGCTGATGATGCCGTGACGGACTCTATTGCATTCAAAAGAGGTGAAAGTTGATAGTTGAGGAATGAATCTGATTTGAGTTTCTCAAGCGCCTCCCGTGCTTCCCCGTCTTGGCCATCATGAGCTGCATGAAACTTGAGAGCTTCTCTGAAAGTGAGTTGTAGGCAGTCGTCACGAGGAGGAGCAGCGAGTAGGCTCAGCGAGTATTCACGGCACTGCAAGCACAATGCCACCTACAGATTCGGCCTACAACATCGACTGGGTCTGGTCCTTCGAATCGAACGTGCATATTGCCAACCACCGCGACTGGTTCACCAGCTTCTCGCCCATCACCTCCGAGATCATTAGCGACAATGGTAGCGCAGTGGTCGAGGGCATTGGTTCTGTCGAGCTCGAAGTGAGAAAGCTCTATGGGGAGGCAGCAAAACGGAACAAAGGTCCGAAGAACTCCAAGATCACCCTACGGAACGTGTTATACGTGCCAAGCTTCCCATGCAACGTGATGGGAAACTCGATAAGAGAAGATTACGATGTTTCTATTGGGGCAGAGCGGTGGTTGATGGACAAGCGGACAGGTGCTGGGCTTGGGCTGCTGGACAAGACTAAAGCTGGGACGGTGAAGCTCATGTTGAAGGGACAGGCGAAGGGCGACACAGGATTGCCCGATGACTTTCCGGAGAGGATGAAAGCTGTGTGGACCGATGAAGAGATGCAGAAGTGGCAAGCTTCCAAGCAGAAGTGAGGAGGAATTATATTGCTCTGCACAACTTACACCAAGGCCAAACGCGGCGCACGATGGGTAGCATATGCAAAAGCTATAGGATTAGGTGCCATGTGTCTGCCTTGCCTGGACATGGAGCCTGATCAATACCGTGCTCAAGGCGACGAGGATAAACAACGGCGTCACAGGTGGATTTTATCAAGATTCACTCACTCGAGGCGGAGTTGCGCACGGACTATGCCGAACTGGCCACCCCCGTTCAGCACTTCCCTCGCCTTGAACACGCACTTTTGACACTTCAAGCTGCGATTCCTTGGGCAATGGAGAGAAACGCCGCTTGTCTCCTGACGGTGCTACTACTCATGGGCGTCTGCTACCTGCAAGAACCTGGTGAGCTGCGGTGAATGTCGATATAGAAGACGTCGAGCAGGAGGGACAATGACTGGAAATTCGCTGTGGACGTTTGAAGGAGCAGTTTAGAGCTCGTGAAGAAGCGACGTGAGGTTCTTGCCAGAGTGCGTCACTAACAGCGCGTAAGGAAAGAGGCGCTGACGGCGCCACAACGTCTTCCACAACGCTCCGCTCCGCTTCGTTGAGCCCTTCACTGGCCATGTAACATCGCACGACCGGCCGATCTTCTCCGCGACACTACACCCTCTGACCAGTGCCTGAGCACCTGACGTACCACTCCTTCAGTTCGCCCGTCCTGCCTCTTGCGCAAAGCCTGAAAGATGGCGCCGCCCGCTGCACCCACTGGAGAAAGCGGCGCCGGAAGGAGACCACCCACGCTCCCTGCGCTGATATGCAAATACGTGAGCTTGGTGCTTCTGCTCACTTCGAGATTCATCTCGGTCAAGGCTTGGTACGCGGGCTTCGTCGTCCACGCAGCTTCCCAATTCTACAACGTGATGGTCACGGAGCCCGAGCTTCCAAGCAAGAGCGCACTCCTGAAGAGCAGCCGGTCTACGGAATTCCGCACCCTTCTTACACACGTTCTCGCTCCCGCAACCGTTCACAGCGACAAGACATGCGTTAACTGCAGCGACAACAGTCAAGGTTTGCCCGGGTGTCAGTGATTTATGGCATGACTGACATCCACATAGCGCAACTGCCTTGCAGTCATATTCTGTGCAGAAACTGCCTCCAGTCACTTCTGGAGCACGCCACCGCATGCCCTCGCTGCGGGCAGCAAATTGTCGCTCGCACCGCGCTGTCCCTTGCCCTGTTGTCGTTATTGAGGGCAAACGAGTCTTTCTGGACCATCTTGCACCACGCCAGTCGGGTCGTGGGCGTTGTATGTCTGTTGCTGTGGCTACTGGGCATCGCAAGCCTGAAGCAGTGCCTGCTCATTTTCTACGCCAGCGTTTTTTTCGAAGGTCACATGACATCCGCCGCGGCCCAGAGGTTCAAGCAAATGGAAGATGACCTGCAGGCGTGGAACGATATAACCTTGCTCTCGGAAATCACCATCAGGGTAGTCATGGACTTCGTGATGATTTCCATAATGTTTTACTACATTCAAAAGTTATTTACATCAACGACACTGAGCATATGGAGGCAGTACTATGCAGGAAGTGGACACTGAGGCATGAGCCCGGTTAGCGAAGGATGTGAATAATGGCTCAGAAAGTATGGCTTCGATGGATGTTGAAACGTGGAGCGCAGCAGTCTTGGTCATCTCAAAGGCCAGTCAGACTTCGAAGGCCTGTCTTGCCTCAAGGCGAGACAGTCTCAGCTCATTCACTTACAGCAGTGTCAGTTGCGAGCTAGGCGTTTCAGGCAGAAAATTTAGCTATCGCGAATTGATAAGCACGCCAACTGTCTCCTTGCGCCATCCAGCATGACCGAGCTTCTCACAAGAGTCGTCCTAGCACACGCACCTCTGCTCCTCCAACCAACGCTACCATCACTAAGCAGTCCCCAACATGAACGAACTCTGGGAGGCTCTCATTGACTACCTCCGCGGTCGACTCGAACCTTCGCTTGTCCTCTACTATGTCGAGCATCTCATCCTATTCTCCGTGTGCGCAACAGCTCCAGCAGCGACAGCATTCTCGGTCCTCCTGCTACTCGCAGCTCTACGCCATCCAAATTTCCTCTCCAAACAACGAAAACTTCCGACGAAGGCGGCTTTGCTCTCATCTTTGCCACCGTCGACGAGCCTCGATCAGGATGAACTGTGCGGAATCTGTCGCGACGCCTTCGAGAGTTCGTACCACGCCCATGTGAGAGACCTGACCGACTGACTATCAACAGATCCCCGTCACCTTCCATGCGGCCACTCTTTCTGCCACGATTGTCTCCACATCATGCTACAGCGCCTGAGCCACTGCCCCCTCTGTCGAACCCAACTCTACACTCGAGGCCCGCTCTTCTACATCCTCAAGTCACTCGTGAACACCAGTCGATTTTTCATGAAATTCTATGCCTATGGCGCTCTCCTAGAGCTCATCCTTGAGGTTGCACTCATTCTTGAAAGTTTGTACCTCGGTGCAGAACCTCATGAACCACTCGCCAAGCTCCTTGGGACAGCTGCAGCTCTCTGGTTCTACACTCGTGGTGTTAGAGCGGAGATTGCAGGCCATGTTCAGGACGCAGATGACGCTGTGGATGGATCTCGGGATGGAAAGTTTGGGTTGGCAGCTGTGCAGGTTGTGATGATATTTTTCTTTTCGTGTGGGATTGTGAGAATCCGGCTCAGGGCTGTCTATCGCCTGACTACGGCGATATGCACATTGTCGTGGACGGGGGACATGGTGTTGTGAGATCGAATACCGGACTCGGATTGCATCGTTGATGGCGTTTCTTGGTTGAGGAACTGTTCGAAATTAGCTCGTCTCGATACGAAAACCCTTATGCTTTCTTGTTACGGTAGAGTCCGATTCAGCGACAGTGACAATCTGGTGGGTGAAGAGTGGGCATCGAGCAGCCTGGTTGTGTGTGCGATCTCACTATCATGATCGCCGGCCTGCTGTCAATGAGCCTTTTTCAACAATTTGTAGGGCAACACTGACGATGCCTGCGTCGGTGGCGATAGCAGTCGCCCGACCTCTTAATCGAAAAGCGGCGAGTTCACGCTGTGCGTGAGTAAGTGGAAGGCCCCGCGGCATGATGGCTTCTCCGTCCCGATCGGAAATTGCGAAGATGAAGAGGATTCAGGAAGAAAGAAGGATAAACAGCTAGTGATGGAGGTCAGAGGTCGGGGGTCTAGGATGCTTCGTTTGGTCGGGCCCGGCATCATTGTGTTTATGTGGGCCGTGGCACCAAACAAGGCGATCTATCGTCTCCTTCCAACCGGACGCAAGAATGGTCATGCTCAAGCATGATATCTGCGACGGTTCAGCGGGTGCGCGTGCCATTGCGGCTACATCTCGCAGTGCTGTGAATGCTCCTAGTCTTCAAGCTTCCTTGCGACCAAGCAGATGCCAGAGCAACCGCTGTACGAGCGTGGAACAGCTGCTCGTAAAGGAGCTGTCGATGCGACATTTTCCATTTAATTCATCTGCACATCAGCAGGCGCCTCTTCGGAGTGAGTAGTACATACAAACAGTGGAGAGCGGCATCTGCACCAAGCTCTCTGCGCATACAAGAAGCTGCCTCTTATGCCTTCGCATCTTTCCATGTATAGCACAAGCACGCGATCTATGGCGACTTCGCCCATTATCCTGATTCTTCACGACCTCTCCCTTGTCCCCTTGTCAGATCTTCCGCCTGCCCAACGCTAACATGCAACATGACACAAAAAGATGAGGGCGATACAAGCGCGTGTGAGCCGGTGAGAGCTAATTCAATTTTCGTCCTCAAGGCATACGCCGATAGTGCCATTCACATCCGCGGAAAATGTCTTGATCGAGAATGAATTTGCTGCTTTGCTTCGAGAAAGTATGCTTGAGGGCGATGATAATCGCCGGCTGCGGTCTCGACATGGCGACTATGTTCGCCGCGAAGACGCTATCGTTCGGATGGCTACCAAAGCAGAGTATTAACCACCGATCAACAAGTGTTGGCAGACGTGTCTCTGGCAATGAGATGAGGCACCGCAGTTACAACTCTTCATCAGAGTCTTCCTGCTTCGCTGCTGTTGTGGCTTTAATGTCGGGTGTACTGGCAGCTCGTTGGCTATCGTCCGGCTTGATCGCTGGGTTCGATAAGGACGACGAAGGCAAGAAGCCCGCTTCGCTGGTAAAGAGGCTGCCGCTGACACCCGGCAGACTCGCTCGCTGGCGCTTGAAGGGGCTAGCAACAGCATCACTGATTTCTACAGGCAAAGGCGTAAGGCCTTCAGGTGGCGTGCCTGCATTGGCCGCCACAGAATTGACAGACTGAGGAGTACCAGCGGTCGGCGACTCCTCGTTCTTCAGATGTGGCGATTTACGGGTGGCACTGCTCTCGCTGAGTGGCTCCGCGGAGTGCTGTCTCTTGAGCTGGAAGGAGGAATTAGCATATCACGTCAAACGATCTGCGGTGTCGCCTACCTTAATCTTCTGCACACCCTCAGCGACCTCATTGGTACGCTTCGCGTCTTCTGGAGACAGGTGGGTGTTGCCGTTCTCTTGCTTTATATCGCCCTCATCGTCGGGATCATCAGGAAGTCTTTGCTCGTCTTCGTCGTCGGCATCGCTGTCCATGGCGTCCACATCGTTGTCCTTCGCATTTGATTTGCGCTTTCCATTGGCAGGATCCCGATAGCCAGAGAAGCCAACAGTGCCTTCAGACTTCAATGGACCGAATTTGGAGAAGTCTGGTCCAGAAGACTTTCTTCGACTGCTCTGCTGGGCTTTCTGCTTTTCGGGGTCATTCACGATGCCCATCTTCTTAAGCTGCTTCTCGCCTCGGTAGAAGAATGTGAAGACGGCGTACGGCGATTCTGGTGGATCCAGACCAGTCACTGTCTGCGTGCTGATAGTTTTTGGGTCAAGTGTCTTGGGTTTGGCGAAGCTCGTGGTATGGTCAACATCATCGTCGCCGCCATCACCGCCACCTTCCATATCGTCGTCGTGCGCGTCAAATTGTGGCGAGTATTCTCCTCTCTTGATCTCGCCGCTTGCCAGAACTCGAAAGAGAGCCACCTTGATCTGTCCTGCGGCTTCTGGTTGCGGCGGCTCATCCTCCGAATCCGAGTCGGAGGAGAACAAGGCGTCCTCAGCAGGTAGATCTTCCACTGGAGAGCCGTCCTCTCCACCATATCGGAGCACGCCATTTCGCGCAGGAGTCTTGGACTCTTTCCCAGCATCGTTGTCGCTATCGTCCATGCTCTGCTCCTTGTGTTTCCGGCGCTTCTTCTCCAGTCGTCGCTGGCGCCGCGCGATTCGCTCCTCCTTTTCCTTGTTGCTGCCTTGAAGATCGAGCCCGTTCAGCCATCGCTCCAGGCCGACTTCTCTGAACAAGAATTCGCGTTCTGCCAGACCACCACCTTCTGACTCAGGCACACTGACCCAACGCGAGTTCACCCACGTCTCTTCGCCCCTCCTCAGGAGCGTCGCAACTTCCTCTTTTACTCGGCCGTCAAAGTAAATGTAGGCCGCAATAGTCTCGTTGGGATTGGCTGTCCGCGGAATGTATGGTGGGACGGAAGGCTGGTACTTTCCTCGCTCATTGCCATAGCCGGGAAGGCCACCGACTATTCTCGGTCGTGGGTATGGGTCGTCTGGGGTGGGTTTGGGTGTGGAGTATGGCACGTTCAGTCCTGGCGTCAGAAGGGTGATGGATATGGCAAAGGTAGACTGCTCAGGCTTGCCGCCGCCGGGAGGGACTTTTGCTGGCGGGACGGGTATGTAGGCAGATATGCGGTTGGCGCGCGTCTGCCTCTGGATGGAGTGCTCTGCAATGGGGCCATCGGGGGTGTGGATGCTGACCGCAAGGCCTTTGAAACAAGGCATCTTGCGGTCTGGGAGCCGAGTCGGACCAGATGCGCGGTGTTAGTGGTTCTGCTGGCGGCGGCGGTGGTGGTGCTGGGGGTGGTGGTGGTGCTGCTGCTACCGAGCTACTGCTAATCGCTTGGAGTTGTTGGTGTTTCTGCGCGGGAAGACGTGTTTCTGCGGCGGCGCGGCGCTGCTTTCTTTAGAACTACCAGGATGCACGAAGAGTGTCGTCGTCGTTCTCTGGTCGCGCTGCTCGTGTTCACGTGTGTCTCGTGAAGCTTAGTCGAATGCAATCATTCAATTGGCTGTACTTCCATGCTGCACATCCGCCTGCAATTGGGTGCGGAGAAGAGCAGAGCAGCGCAGAGCTGCACAAAGTGCCGTCTGCCGCCTATCGCAGTATCGTAGCGTAGCTCGACCAAGCGGCTCTTCATGCGAACTCCGCCTCGCAAGCTCTAGGTGTGATACAACGAACGAAGCAGTACCGGCCGTGAGTGCCTCTTCACACCTCCGTGGTCAGGCTTGTCTAAGTCACGCTGACAGTCGGAGGTGGAAGAAGTTCACAACTTCACATAAATGATAACGCGCTTCGGCCGCATCTCACCTGATGCCTGAGGCCGAAGCCGGGCCGCCAAGACTGGCTCGTGCTTGTGAAGGATGGATTCCCGTCTGATATCTAGGTCTGTTCTCATCCTGCCACAAGCTCTGCCACTTTCCCCTTTCTCTTCCCTCCTACCTGCCGTCTCGCGGCCGGCTGACCCTTTTTTCAGTCTCTTGGCGTGCGCCTAGCGCCTGTCAGTATCTCCTTTCAAACGAGGCCTGCTCTCAAGCTATGGAAGAGCTACAAACGCGCAGATAGAGTCTTGCCCCGACGCTCATTGAGTGGCGCTCGCTTGGCCGTACCCATCTCTAGTTCAAAGCTTGCCTCGCCCATAGACGCATGACTGACTTGAATGCTCGGCAATTATTCCATGATTCCACCCTCGTACGTTCTTCATCCTGCAACTTCCGCCGTCCGTAACGCTGGGTCACACTCTGCTCGTTTCTCCATCTGTGCTGCCTGTACGCCCTCACTTGGTTCACCGATCATGACGTTAATCTGGTCAATCTTCTGCTCTTCCTCAAATGCCCTGCGGGCCATGACAGGTCGCTTCGGCCTGACTGCTGTTCTCTGGATGATTGGGTAGAAGTACGCGCCTTTCTGCAGTCTCTTCGCAGCACCGGGAGTCACACCCACCTCTGTCTCCGGGTCGTGCAATGCCAATGCCACAGAGTCGTTGTACATATTCCTCGAATCACCATGTTGATTGTAAGTCTCGTATGTGCGCAATCGCTTGAACCTAAAAGCGGGCTGGCCTTCGCCATTGTCATCGGTGTAGAGCGCTGGGTCATCATTCTCAGGATCATTCACATTCAGTTTTCGCTTGAGTCCATGCACCGCAGCCGGATCTTCTGGCAGGTAGTAATCGTAGTCGTATTCGCGAATAGGCTCAGGTTTCGTCGAGCCAGATTCCTGCCACTCGCGCAGTCGTTCTTGAAATTCTTCCCCAGCTTGCTCGTCAGGCACAGGCCGCACGATCGCAGTATCTATCCGTTCATCGTATGTATTTCCCGCTGGAACTGGGTTCGACTGGAACTTCATGACCATGTAGAAGCCCAGCGACGGTATCGCGTCGAGGTCCGGAAGCACCGGGTACGAATCGAGCAGTTTGAGGTCAGGATTGGTAGGGTGTTTTGGGTTTGACCATGCCTTCAGCTCTGCGTCCGTGACCTGCGCTCCTCGCAGATTGCTCACGTTGTCTTCGCCTTTGTATGCGTCTCTAGGGTATGCGATGTCAAATCCCTTCACGATATGTCGCATGATGTTGATCGGATCCTCTTTGTTCAGACTTGGTTTCCGTCTCTTGTCATTACGCATGCGCAACAAGTCTTTCGAGGTCGATGAGGAGAAGTGCTGCGTCTGCTGCGATGATGTGTATTCTGTTCTTCGGAGGAACGATACCTGACCCAATGCTGCATTTGGCTTGCCTAGCGAGTTGAGTGGTGTCAGGAGTTTCTTGTCGGTCGGATGCAGCGTCTGAGGTCCAGACCGCGCCATGATTGCTGGTCATCGTTAGATTGATCCCCTAGAGACCACAGACTGATATGCGACTCACCTCGCTCATCGCCATCAAATATGCCGGGAATGCCAATCAGATCTATGGGCATGCCCAGCTCCGCATCTGCCTCGATGTTGAGAGGCTGATCCCTCGCCAAGCGCGATGCATATCCTGCGCTCGTATACTGCCCGCCTGCAAGACCTGTGCCTGGGATATCGAGGAGCTTCGGTGGGTTCGGCGGAGGCGGTAGAGCATTGGAGTATCTGATGCGCGCAATGTAGTCCTGGTGGACGACCTTTTCGCCTGGCCGCTGGCTCATCCTGGCGACTGTTCTGAAGGCAGTCGTGTATGATGGTTAGAGATGGCTGCGCTCGACTTTTGCGAGGGCCAGATGAGGGTGCGCGGTGGGTAGAATGTTGGTGTTGATTTCATGTGTCCGATCGCGAAGAGACGTGTCGCAGGAAGTTGAGCGACAAAACACGGGGCACGGGGCACGCGACACTCACTGTCAACCTGCAGAGCTGCCACACACACACTCGACCCGGACGTCAACCATATCTTCGGCTGGCCGTCTTGCTGCTTCTGCTCTCCCATCGGCAACATCCGCCAGAAAGATAACCACTCCTCGACAAGACCGACAATCATCGCTCTCCATACCAGGACTTCCTGCATCCAAGCTCGGCATCATGCCCAACGTGGATGAATGATTCGACCGTCGCTGTCGCAGCCACCCACGTGCATTATTATGGCTGGGAATGCCGCACCGTCGGCCAGTCTTTCGCTGTCCAGAGCTGCTGCTGCACAAGTCACCACGCTCGTGGCCAACATCACCTCCCAGACCCCGGCCGATGCACCCGCAGCTGCTCGCTCTACTCTGAGCATGCTGGGCGGCCTCTTCTTGGGCATCTTCACCATAGTACCGAGCCTTCTCTACTGGACCATCACATTCGTCTCCATCACGCTGCCAACATGGCTATTTACCTTCTTGTCGACGAGCCTGACTTTCACCATGAACATGACTACCCTGCTGCTGCTCCTGCTGGTGATCGGCTCCACGCTCAGCTGGTTCGTGAGATACAGGTTTCTCAATGTCTACTCTCGCCTGCCACCAGAGCCGCAACGGAAGGAGCCGCAAATAGAGATCTTTCCAGAGTCTCAAGAGACCGACTCGAAGCCAGGCTTGGCCAATTACTTTGATGAATTTCTTAGCGCGATCAAGGTTTTTGGATATCTGGAGCGACCAGTCTTCCACGAGCTTACTAGGACCATGCAGACCCGGAAACTGATCGCTGGAGAGACTCTGCTGCTCGAAGAAGAAAAGGGATTTTGCTTGGTCGTGGACGGCTTAGTGCAGATCTTTGTCAAGTCGAATCGTGCTCAAGACATGGATTGCTCGGGCGAGCTTGCAGTCGCAGACGACGATCAGGTCGAAGATCGCACAGGCTCGCACGGCAGCTATCAACTCTTGACCGAAGTCAAAAATGGTGCTCCAATGTCGTCCCTCTTTTCAATTTTGGCGCTGTTCACAGAGAACGTCAAGCTGAGATTTGACGAAGAAGATGAACACCTCACTTCGAGTGGGTCCAGTGGCAATTTGAAGCAGCAGCTGAGGATGGCGCCACATCTCGAGGATGGAGTTGCAGCCTCTGGTACCAACAGCCCCATACAATGGACCGGTCCGGGCTCGTCACGCCCAGTCTCACGACAACGAGCACATTCGAATGCGCATATGCACGGCGTTTACGCAGCACGGGACCCTCCGCCTCTTACTCTCGACGGCAGTGGCACAGATGAGAGTCAGCAACAACAGCATAGCAGGCGGCCAAGTTTCACACAGGGAAAAAGCACCAGACAGCAGCGAAAGTCGAAGCAGCAGGCTTCAGCTCATCCAGATATCGTGGCACGAGCGACCGTGGACACCACGATTGCAATCATACCGGCCAGCGCCTTTCACAGAATAACAAGGATATATCCCAAGGCGACTGCACACATCGTACAAGTCATCCTGACGAGGCTGCAGCGAGTGACGCTGGCAACTGCGAATTCTTACCTTGGTCTCACTAGCGAAGTGCTGCGCACGGAAAGGCTGATGGACAGGTACACAAGCTATGATCTTCCTGACTTCCTGCGAGGCGAGGCACTAGAACGCTTAAAGGATAAGTTCCGGAAAGACCAGGAGCGAATTGGGCTTGAAGAAGGCATGAAAGGCATTGCACTCCACAACCCACGTACTGCTCAGCACAAACGGACTAGCAGTAGTCTTCAGCGGGAAGCCGCTGTGCGAGCGCGGATGAGCGTAGGCAACGGAAGCCTTCATTCGAGCACTGTCGATAATGGTGACAGATGTGGCATGAGTGCAGGAGATCTGCTTACCAACATCCATGCTGCGAGGTCACCAAATGGTCGCAGAAGTCAACCAGGCAGCTTTTCGCAGCCTTACGTTGCCCCGAAGAACTCCATTGGCAACCTTCAGTCAATTGAATCACGTAAGAAGGACTTTTACAGTCCAGTCATAGATCCACGACCCATGATGCATCGGCAGGAATCCATAGATGAAGATCTGATGTTCAGAGAGTCAATCATGGAATGCATGGCAAAGGCTATTGGTCTCACGAATTCTCATACCACTCGTCGAGCTGAATCTGTCGCGCAGTCTCCGCGACTGGTTTCATACGACTCGAAAAAGCAAAGTGCCGTCTTCAACAATGCTTTTGGATTTATGGACCCGTATGATGGCTCTCAGGAAGACGGCGACTCTGTCGCATCAGCATCTGCGTTCAGCGTCGGTGGTTCGGCAAACATCATGGAAGATCTGAAAACTGAAGTCGAGATAGTCTACTTCCCCAAGGACTCTGTGCTAGTCGAAGAAGGGGAGCGTAATCCTGGGATCTACTACGTGATAGATGGCTTTCTTGACGTTAGCGCGTCTGTAGAGGAGCAAGAGGCGCACAGCAATGTGCTAGGAACCATGGCGAGGCCAGAAGGGTTGGAGATTCCAGAGTTTGCAACTTCGGCCGCGCGAAGAAAATCGGACAACAAAAGAGCCTCATCCGCGGGTCTCTCAGAGCATCATAGACGAAAGAAATCTGGCTATGTACGCAAGAGTCTGTTTCTCATCAAACCAGGTGGACTGGCAGGATATCTCGGCACGATCTCCTCCTACCGCTCATTAATCACCATCACCGCCAAGACCGATGTCTATGTCGGCTTCTTGCCTCGGATGGCAATTGAACGAATCGTGGAAAGGCATCCCGTTGTTCTACTGACCATGGCAAAACGCATGACAAGTCTGCTACCACGTCTAATCCTTCACATTGACTTTGCCCTCGAATGGGTGCAGGTCAATGCCGGCCAGGCAATATACCATCAAAAAGAGGAGAGTGACGCCATCTACATTGTGCTCAACGGTCGGCTGCGGGCAATCCAAGAGAGCGAGGATGGCGATGACATGAAAGTCATCGGGGAGTACGGGCAGGGTGACAGTGTCGGAGAGCTTGAGGTCTTGACAGAGTCATCTCGACCTGGCTCACTTCACGCCATTCGCGATACAGAACTTGCCAAATTTCCCAAGACATTGTTCAACAGTCTCGCTCAAGAACATCCGGGCATCACGATCAAGGTGTCCAAGATTATTGCGTCGCGTATGCGGGCATTAATCGAGAATCCAATGAACGAAGCAGAGCATTACAACACACTGGCCATGGAACGACCAAAGGTGGCGTCAACGACGAACCTGAGAACAGTCGCAGTGATCCCATGCACGGTTGGAGTGCCCGTTGTGGAGTTTGGCAACAAATTGCACGACGCTTTAAGGCAGATTGGCACGCCGAATGGAGTGTCAGTGCTCACTCAGACGAGCATTCTCAATCATCTGGGGAGGCATGCGTTCAGTAGGATGGGCAAGCTCAAGCTTTCGCAATATCTGGCAGACCTCGAGGAGAAGTACGGCATAGTGATATACGTGGCAGACACGAGTGTCAAATCTCCTTGGACACAGACATGTATCAGCCAAGCCGACTGCATATATCTGGTTGGGCTCGCTGAGGGGACTCCAGCGATTGGCGAGTATGAGCGCTTCTTGCTGACTACCAAGACGACGGCTCGGAAAGAGCTTATCCTGCTGCACAGTGAGCGATATTGCCCTTCAGGCACGACGAGAGCGTGGCTGAGAAACAGACCTTGGATCAACGGGGGCCATCATCATGTCCAGATGGCATTCCGCACAGCACCCGAGCCCGTTCATGCGCATCCGGCTGGAAAGCGATTCGGCAATGCCATCAAGCAGCGAGTACAAGTACTGCAAGCAGAGCTCCACAAATATACATCTCGGAGAGTGCGACAGACGCCATTATTCTCTGCTGAGACGCCGTTCAAAGGAGACTTCCATCGGCTCGCACGAAGACTGTGCGGCAAGACTGTTGGGCTGGTGCTTGGCGGCGGCGGTGCTCGCGGTCTTGCGCACGTAGGCATCATTCGGGCTCTCGAAGAGGCGGGACTGCCGATCGACATCGTCGGTGGCACGTCGATAGGTGCTCTTGTTGGAGGAGTATATGCGCAGGATGCAGAGGTGGTGCCGATGTACGGTCGGGTGAAGAAGTTCGCAGGTCGCATGGGCAGCATGTGGCGATTCGCGCTCGATGTCACGTATCCCTCCGCTTCGTACACGACGGGGCATGAGTTCAACCGCGGCATCTTCAAGATCTTTGGTGACAGCCAGATCGAAGATTTTTGGCTGTCGTACTACTGCAACTCGACGAACATTTCGAAGTCCAGACCCGAGATCCACACCAGCGGCTATGTGTGGCGATATGTGCGAGCATCCATGTCGCTTGCAGGTCTTTTGCCGCCGATGTGCGACGATGGGCACATGCTGCTGGATGGAGGATACACGGACAACCTGACGGTGTCGCACATGAAAGCGCTCGGGGCAGACCAGATCTTCGCTGTCGACGTGGGCGCTCTTGATGACGACACTCCCCAAGCATATGGCGACAGCCTGTCAGGACTTTGGGCGGCTGTGAATCGCTGGAATCCCTTCTCCTCGCACCCCAATCCACCGACGCTGTCGGAGATCCAAGCGCGACTCGCATACGTGAGCTCGGTGGACAATCTCGCGCGTGCGAAGAACATCCCTGGTTGTCGATACATGCGGCCTCCCATCGAGACGTATGGCACTCTGGACTTTGGGAAATTCGATGAGATCTATCAGGTGGGATACGAGTACGGGAAGAAATTCCTGGCTGATCTGGATGTGCGGGGGAATGCAGAGACGGATGACAAGCGGAATTTGAGGAGGACAATGGCTCCGAGAAGAGCTAGCATTTGACATGTGACGGTAGATCAAGACGGAAGAGATGCATCCATAGCATGTTTGTTTGGTATAGAGCACGGTGACGAATATTCAGAATGTTTCTGCCTAGGTGCCATTCGGAGCAATCGGGCTGTGTGGGGCTTTGAGTTTCGGTGGATTCGGAGCTCCGCGACCCAAACATTGCGCCCGGGGACGGCCATACACGACGGATAGCAGGCGGCGTGACGATGACGGTGACGACACCAGACACCTGACATCTGCCAGACGCGTCTGCTCTATCGGACTACGCTATGATGGCTGATATGACGATGATGGACGGCAGCGGCAGCGGCAGCGGCAGCGGCAGCGCCCAGCAACACCAACAACAGCCTGATGACATGCGCGATGGACCGCCGCCGGCCAAGCGGTAAGACAGCCGAGAGCGAGCCTGCCTGAATGAAGCGCCTCCCACTGACTCTGGAGTCCGATACATGCAGGCAGAGGGTATCCGAAGCATGTGAGTGATCAGTTGTCCGAATCCTCTCCGAGCCGACAACATCCTTCCTGTGCATCCGCAATGGTCGTTGACACTGACCTGTCGCTTATTATTAGGTGGACCTTGCAGATCTCGCAGTATGCCCAACTTCACCCTCTGCACACACACAACCAAGCTGATTGCCGACACCACAGAGACGCGATGCGATGGCCGACAGCCGGTCTGCATAGCATGCACGTCCCACGGTCCGATTGATGCCAAGACTGGCCGCTGACGTCAGCAGGCGAGACCAGAGGCGTGGCATCGACGTGCAACTACGATTGTAAGTAGAAGGTCACGTGAAGAGCGAACAGGCGGCGGCTCACACTCAAGCTTCAGACGTTCGAAGACAGCGCCGCAGTCGCCTTTCGCACTCTGCTCCGCAGCCCACCACCCGTCCCGAAAGCACCACATTCCGACCTGCCGATCCCGAGCGCAATGCCGCTCAAGCATTGAGCGACCTTGGTATTGCCCGACCACGGCCATCGAATGATACCGGTATGTGTATTGATTGATACATGCTGATGCCAGGCTGTAACACTGCTCAGGCAGCTTCACAGCCTCACGCTGACTGCAACAGATCGCCGGCCAAGTAGTGCAGCGCAAGCAGCAACCCCCTCCATAAATGGCTTTCACGCGTCTTCAGGCGCGGCAAGTGCTGGACGAACACCCGGCGATTGGCCCGCAGCCAAAGCAGATGGCCTCGCTACTATTGCTTCTGGAAACGACCGCTGCATGTATGGTCCATCATCAACCGTAGCATTCTTACGCCATGTCATGCCCAAGCAAGGCACGGCAACGCCGCCTGATTCCGGTGCCCTCGACAGTAGGAGTATCAATTCTGAGCCAAGGCGTACGTTGAAGCTTATGTTATTGCGCTTGGAGACCTTCACTTACCATTTATTACCCAGCTCGTAGCGCTGCTCCACTGCCGGAGCGCGTCCTTCCACGAAACGACGGCCTTGCTGTTCTACCCAGACGACGTCAAGCCGACAACTTCCTGCTGTGCTATTGGGAGTTCATCCATCCTCTCTTTCCTGTCCTCCACAAGCCCACATTCACGCGCAAATACGAGGCGCTATGGCTTGACAGTGAGATGATTCAGCGAGAGCACGACACAGAGGTTGGCCTGACCTTTTGATTCGATGTGGCGCTGGCTTGCTGACTTGATGCTCCAGGCAGAAGAAGCTGCTTTCATGTCTACGCTGAATCTCGTCTTCGCAATCGGCTGCAAATTCAGTGGCCTCGTTGAGCCTGCTCAGAAGCAGAGTGTCGCCGAAGACTTCTTCCAAAAGTCACGCCAAGCATATCCCTTCGATGTGCTGGATTCCAACTCGATTTCCGTTGTTCAAATGCTGGTACGTACCTTTCCACGCAATTGCATGCATGCATTGCGACGCTGAATTCGCTTTCCAGGTCCTGACTGGGGTCTATTTGCAATCCACGCAACATGCGAGCCGGTGCTGGAACTCAATTGGACTTGCTATTCGAATGGCTCAGTGTCTTGGCTTGCATGTGGACCACAACGGCCGGCATAGCATGTCGCAGGTTGAACTGCAGATGAGGCGCCGAATATGGCATACTTGCGTCAGCCTCGATCGGTGCGCCATCCTTCTCAAACGTAGTGTTCATTACTGATGCCTGGCTAGACTACTTGCTATGACCTTCGGCCGACCCTCAATGCTTGGCAGTATCAGTGACGTGCCCATACCCGAGGCGATCGACGATGAGTACCTCGCAGACCGCGGCACAGGTACTACTCAGCCCGCAAACGTTCCATCACGACTTGGTCTATTCGTTTCTTCCTGTCGCCTCTTCGAGCTACTCGAAGAAGTCCTGGAGCGCTTCTACCGTGAGGCACCTTCGCAGAAGCAAGCGAGTGGAACAGACACACCTGCCGACATTGTTGGGCCTGTGCTGGACCTCAACCGAAGACTGGATGTATTCGAGCAGAGCGTATCCGCCTACTTACGTGTTTTCGACCAAGGCTCTATCAACGGCCGAAATGAGGACCATGTTCAGCTCCAGCAGCAAGTTCTCTATTGCCGATTTCTATACGTCAGGCTGCTGTCTCTGCGACCTCTGCTTCTTCTCGCGACGAAGCGTGAGCAAAGAACTTCATCGAAGCATACTCTGGACGACGAGGTTGTCCTGGCCTGCTGCAATCGCTGCGTGATGACCGCACGAAGACTCATTGACACGCTTTACGACAACATCGGCACACTGTACCGAGCATCAGGATGGCATTCCGTGTACTTCACTTTTTCGTCGGCAATGGTGCTATTAGCATCCTGGCAAAGCGATGACGATCATACTCCTGGTACTGAGATGGACGAACGAGAAACGTCTTGGGTGCGGTGTCTAGCGATCCTGGACCACTATGTCGAACAAATCCACTCCGCAGATCACGCGGTCAAGATTCTTAAGACGATTAAGGCTCAGATCTGGAACACATCACGCGCGAATGGTGAGTAACTTCAGGAGCTCTTCAAAGACGATGGCTAACGAAGGCTAGCAATGCAAGGATCCAGTGAACAGCAGAGAGTCGAGTCGAATATGAGGTTACCTGCCGAGGTCAATGCTGGCATTCCTACCGCCGAGATGTACCCTCAGCTATCACTCGACGATCCCGAGCTTTTCAGCACCGACAACATCGCAGAGGCATGGTACGGACAGCAGTTGGTGAATTTGGATTGGCTGGAAATACCGAACCTGTACGGGTGAAGCAAAGCATAACGCTAATTATTGATCCGACTAATGGGTGCACCAGCCTCTTCTCTGACGACTTCAAAGGCGCGACTTCGCTGGGTCCGAGGGTGCCAAACGAAACTCCCAACTGGCTTGTGGATCATTTGGTCGCGGGTCAAACTTGACGACAAGAGAATTCTGTTTGATGTCAACATGACAGGAAGAGACGAGATGAGGATGCGCACCTTTACTGCAAAGACGGAATCATTGTCGAGATAGTCGTCGCTCTCAGAATCATAGATCTGAGTCGTAAGCAGCTCGTATCCTCCCTTCTGGGCAATCATACGAAACATGTGCGGTCGCGCGCAAGGTTGTTTCGTCCGAGCTTACTTGGGTTTAGAGGTATGGGACAGGCATCGATACCTGCCAATGCCTGCCTCTTCCGATGCCTTTGCACTCACTTAATTATGTTCCGGTATTAGGAGTGAGTTGCTTTTCGAGTAGAGCGCGTGGTGCAATGTTTACGATACTTCCGAGCCGATATCCGTGCAACTCTCTCCACGAGACTGACGGGACCCAGATGACTAAGACTGTGGAGCTTTATGCCTGGATGAATTCCGTTTGGGAAAGTCATGAGTTCATACGATCTTCGGGATATTGTATAGTCTAATTATGCGAGCTGTTAAGCCGGGCTATCCCTAACCGTACAGTCGGTAATTGATACTGGATACTATATGATTCTTGCAGTCTAACCCGAGATGTCAGCTACTTGGTATAGAAATGTAGAAGGGTACGTCAAAACAGTTTAAACACCTATGGATAGATCCTTATCATCAAAGCAAACGACTTCTTCTCCTACAACCTCCCACTCGCCTGCAATCTCTGCGTCAAACACTCCCTCGCATCCCGACACATACCCGGAATATCCACATCCGCAATAATCCCATTCCTCACGTTAATCTCAGTCTCAATCTTTTCAAAATCCTCCCCTACCCCCTCCGCAATCCATTCATAGCAATTCCCAATATGCTGCGAACTGGGAGGCAACCATTGTCCACGGTCCCTCCTCACATCATCAAAAGCCGCAAACACCGCTTCCACATGTTCTCGAGTTTTCACTCTCTTATCCGCCAGGAGATCCGCGAGGATAGCGGCATCTTCGATACAGAAACCTGCTCCGGCACCGTGGTGGGGTGATGTCGCGTGTGCCGCGTCGCCGACGAGACAGATGGATCCTTTGGCGAAAGAGGGGACTGGGTGATCCGCGAGGTGAAAAATTCCCCAGACGTCGAGATCGGGTTTGCAGAGTTTCAACAGGCTGAGGACGTCGTGCCCATAGTCTTGGAAATCTCGGAGTGCGTCGTCCCGGTTTGCGCGGCGGACTAGACGGTCGTGGTCAGGCCAGTCTTCGGGGTTGGTTTTGAAGGCTACGATGTTTACGGTTTTGCCTTTGTTGACCGGGAAGGTGAGTAAATGGCCACCTGGTCCCATCTAGGGGAGGAGGAGGAGGAAGATGTTAGTAAGAGCTCTTCGAAAGGCGTGGGTTGTGCTTCGAACTTACATGCATACAAGCCGTCTTAGCCTTCTCCTCCCCAACAGCCTTCACAGCATCCTCCATATCCGTCAAGCCCCGATACGCATACTTATGCGTATACGTCGGCCTCGCACACGGATGCTCCTCCCCAAACATCAAAACCCTCACTTTCGACTTAATCCCATCACATCCAATCACCGCATCCGCAACCGCACTCGACCCATCCACAAATCTCAACCTCCACCTCCCATCTTCTTCCCTCTCCAGTCCCTCCAACCTCTTCCCAAAATGACTCCGTTCCGCAGGAAACAACCCCACCAATTCATTCAAGAAATGCGCCCGATGCACCCCCGCCTGTCCCAGTTTCGTGCGGATCGAGAACGCGAACGTTTCCGAGGAACTTTTGTCGTGGTATCCGTCGTGGTAATCGAACCAGACGGTTTTTTTGCTGGGCCACAGATTGCTGACTCGGACTTTTTCGAAGGCCTCGAAGATGCCGGGGTGGCAGTGTTCCATGGCTTGGATTGCATTTTCGCGGAATGATACTCCTGCCCCGATTTCGGCGAATTCGGGCGCTTGTTCGTAGATGCGGGTTGGGATGCCGCGGTGGTGGAGGGCTATGCCTAGGGTGAGGCCGGAGATGCCTGGGGTTTTTGGTCATGTAAGCTGTGTGTCGTTCTTCGGGGCGTGTGATGTGTGGAAGCTGTGAAACAGCAATTGCTTAAAATCTGGGCGTGGCGGCTTGCTGAGAGAGCTTCTTTCTTTCTGCTTGATATGGTTATGCTCTTTTCGCAGACTTACCTCCTCCAATAATCGCGACTTCGAACTTCTTGCTTGTTTGTGCCATGATAAGGACTGTTGGCCGCCACTCTGGAGCAAATCAAGGTCGCACTGCGTCGATCAAGCGTGAGTATGGGCGATAGTATGTATGGGCGTCATGGATCTATAGATGATCAACGAGATCTCTGCATCTGCATCTCGGCTTCTAGATGTGCGGACTAGAAATGGGAATTATTCCTATCTAACTTCACTTAGATCTCCTCACTCGCTGGCCTCTGCACACCAGTTGCCCGAAGTTGTCAAGGTCATGGGCGTCGGCATCAACCTAGACGTCTGTTAGTGTGGCTGACAACTCAGCAAGTTCCGGCCACTTGCCGATCCGAAGTCCGATGTCGAGCAGGCGTTCCGACCCGAATCATTTCTCCTCACAGTGCTGGGCTTTGGACAGGCATCCTAATCGCATCAGACAAATGCACTGCACAATCGGCGTGCATGCACGCGGCCGTTCTTCATGTCGCGAGATTGAAAAGGCCGAATATCCTATCCCAGAACAGATTCGGCTCTTCGCCAGATATTATCCGATGCATACATGGATGGCTAGATGCATCACGACCCCGTGCGCAGTCCTTGATGCCTTGGAGAAACGCAGGTCTCGATAAGGCGACCAAGACTGCTTCAAGGCCATCACTCGGCGATCATGCGGTCCAACACCTGCGCCAGGTGTGCCGCCACTACAGGACCGTGGTGATCACTAGTCATCTCCAGTAATCGCTCCATCCCCATCTCACGTTGTCCTGGTGGGAGCGCGATAATCTCCCTCAGCATTGCTTCCTCGAAGCGCCACACGTACCGTGTTCCCCTGGGCGGCTTCGGAGGTAAGGCACCTTCACCTTCTTTCGAGATCCAGCGATTTCTTTGACAATTATAGATTACGAATTTCTGAAGCCGCGAGATGAATGGATCCACTGCGATAACCCGGTCGTTGCCTATAAGATAAAGGTCTTTCGCGAGCACTTGTTCTGGTTAGCACGGGACTCCTTCATCAGGAAAGCTGCGACTTACATTCGAGTTTTTCGATCGTCTCCGGCAGCAATGTCTCCAGCTTGGGCCAATCTTCAGCCTGGTGTTGGCCGAAGAGTGCAATCGTGGACAATGTCAAAGTCCGCAGGGACTTGAGCGGTTTCAGAGAGCCGAGCGGTGCAAGAGTTGCATCGAGGTCACCACTAGGGGCAAGTCCTTGCTGGGACAAGTCAGCTCTGAAGCCTGTGCTGCACGGAGGTGAAGCTGAGGTCGCTGATACATACCGACTCCCGCTGTTCAACGCCGAAATCTTCGTCAATGGGATGAGTGAACTCGAGATGCTCCAATTCCAGTGTGAGCGTGGTCAGAGCACGACCAATGCGCCTCCAATCAGTCCTCCAATAGTTGTTGTGACGCGACGACCATCGAATGCTCAGGTGTCTGAGACGAGGTGTCAGGCGGAATAAACCTGTCAGAACATCTGCTTTGGCGCGACAATCCCGGATGACAAGTTTCTGTAGCGTGCTAGGCCCACGAGTTTCCAGGCCTAGATGCATGTCTGGCGAAGCGGCAAGTGAATCCGTCTCCAAAGTCTGCAGGGCAGGCAAGGCGAGCAAGACGCACAAGTCTCTCACATCAGGCAGCGGTGCAGCATGGTCGTTGAGCATGACTGTGTGGATCTTCGCTAAGCCTATCACACGTGAAAATCAGCAAGGCCTCCAAGTTGAAGCGGTGACTACCAAATATCTCTGCTTCGCCATCTACACCTACCAATAAAACTGGGCGCCGTAGCACTTGTCTCTTCTGCCTCGACGGCTTCCTTAATGATCCCGTCAAGCAATTTCTGCCATGTAAGAAACCGTTGACTCTCACGGATGTGAAGCACCTGTGCATTGTAGCACAGCACCATGAGAAGCACAGCGTAAACTTTCATTTCGAAGCCATTAGACAACAGTTCTGACAATTGCTTATGCGAAGCAAAGTTTGAGCGTGTGTAAAGATCCAGTAGCAGCTTGCTCAAATCGGCATTGAGAGATGGACAAGATGGTTTCCAGTCTGAACAGTCCACGCGAAGGTTGATTTTCTCGACATACTGACAGAGCTGGTGATTCTCCAGGAGGGTCCGACACACAAACACTTTGCTGCAGCCCGTTCGATGCTCAGCGACGTCGACATGGCGGTACAGTGATGGTGTTGCGAGCCTCCTGCCGAGCCTGTTGGTCCAACATACTGCTGCCAGTGTTTTTCGGTCGTCGAGGTCCAGGAACGACACGATCAGCTCGTTGAGCTCTTCTGGGAGCCTGGGAAACATGCTGACGTGTCGCAGCAATCACAATACCATCGACGTCTGTTAGATTTGAGGAAATATTGAGAAGGCAAAACAGTCCGCTCACCGCTCACCGCGGCGTATTTCAATGTTGTTGCTGACCGGGGTTCGCGTCGCCCGCGTCTTCAAGCTTCGGAATTGAGTTTGATAGGATCGCGACCTCCCTGCTACAGACAGTACTTTTAGTAGTGCCGACCTTTACACATTATATTGAGCCCTTCATGCGCTCGAAAAGAAAATATGCAGAAGCCTTGCTTTCTTTCTTTGCCCATACCACTGTCATTACACTTACGCTGATTCATGTCTGTGCTGTCCTTATGCATCGTGGGAATCTAATGTACACAGAATAGCATAGAGCTTTTCGGGACCAGATGCCCCGACCGTTACTTCTTCAACAGCTCCTCTGCTTGCTTGGCGCGATCTTCAAGCACCTTCGAAATGTCGTGTATCGTATTCTTCGCCAGCTGCTGAGCCTCGGGCCCCTTCTGGTCTGCCGCTTCCTTCAGCTTCTGCAGCTGGGGTATAATTTGGGAGCCTCCTCCGATGGCACCAAGCCAAGTGGAGAGCCCTCCACTTGTGTACTGATCTGCTTTTTGCTTGGTCTGCTTGACGTATCGCTCGAGGCTTTCCGTGCTACCATTCGATATAGCTGATCTGATCTTCTCAACAGCATCGGTGACGTGACCTTGCTTGAGCGTGTCCATGTTCTCCTCGACGAACTCCTTGACCTTTGGATTCTTCTCGAGCATCGGCTTGATCTGTTCCAGCCCGCTCTGCCATGACTGATCGGCAGTCTTCTTGAGCTGCTCCGCCTTGTCCTGCACCAATTTGTAGATGCGGTTTGCCGAGTCTGCGCTGAAGCCTGCCTTGGCGATGTCCGATGCTTCTTTGAATGTCTCATCGACTTGCTTCTTGGCTTCCGGTCCTAGGCGATCACCCAGCTGCTTCAGCTGGTCAAATGAGCCGCCCAGCTTTTCCTTCGCCTCAGGATGATTGTCCAGTATCTGCTGGCCTGCGTCGCCAGCGATGGACGACAGTTCTTGCAGGCGCTTGGACAGGATCTGCCACACATCGTTGATGACTTCCAAGCTGGCACCCTTCTTGTCTGCAACCTCCTTCAACTCATCATATGTCTTCTTTGCAAGGTCGTTGACCTCATCGCCATGCTTCTGCTGGATGTCCTCGAGATCCTTGAAAGATTTATCAATGAACTCTTTCCCACCGGGTACCCAAGTAGCGTATTTCTGTGCAAAGCTCTTGATCTCGTTGAGAGCGTTTCCGGAATCCGTAGGCTTGAGCTCTTTGAGCTGTGACTTGACTTGCTCGGCGACCTGGTCGGCATACTGCTTGGCGCTTGCAGACGTCTGTACAAGGGTCTTCGCGCCGGAGAAGTGGTAGTAGGCATAACCAGCGGCGAACACTACACCACCTCCGATCAGGCCTCCTGTCAATGCAGAGCCACCAGCAGCACTTGAGGATGTGGAGCTACCGCCGGTGGTGCTTGCTGTGACTGGCTCGGTGGCATATGTCAGTCTTGTGGGTTGTCTAAGTGCTGATCTAGTCGTTGTGCTGCGAATAGCCCGCGATGCGCGGGTCGTAGCTCTGGGGCCGAACATGGCGACTATGTTGATGCAGCTGTACGTTTCGAAGTTGTGTACACAGAGAGAGTGTGTGTGGGTGAGAAGGGAGTTGAGTATCGGAAGAGACCGAGTGTTTTTGGACTTACCGTTGAAGCATACATGTACCAGCCGCCTTCGACCAAGAATGTTCGCAGTGTTGCAAGAATGACGAGCCGATGATGAACAAAGTGGTGACAAACGTCAATTCGACGCTCGGGCCTCGGGCTAGATCTCCTCCACAGCAACTTCAGCAACAACATCGACACACAGGTACGACCTCCATCACATTTCATTATTCGTTCATCTCGTGAACACTTCACTGAGAATCCATCATGGCACCTAGCGACTTTGTGCTCCCGTGCTGCATGCTCGCAGCAGCCTGTAATAATGGGCGGCACAGCTGAATCCGGCCATGAAGTCTTTGTCTTTTGTGCGCCATTGTTGATGTAAATCAGTGCCAATAAACCTGAGACTCACTGCGCCCAGACGCCGACATGTGCAAATGTATTACACAGACTAAGTCATGGCATCGCCGCCTATGACGCCCCCACGCACGTATCGTTCGACCTCCCGATCACCTCGGAGCGCATGGAGTCGGGCTAGTAGTAGAAACAGGCTCAATCTTCAAGAGGAACTTGACCTCCTCGATCAGCGTCTACAGCATGAATACGAAGAGCAAGAATGGCCATCAACTCCCACACAGTCGCGAGGCCGCCGAGCTCTGAGGCCAGCTCGCAGCATAGCAAGCCCTGGAAATCGTCCGCAGCCGACGTCCAACAGATTTGAGAGTCCTGAACGGCAACCTCAGAAACATGTACCCACCGGATTTGAGAGCCACAGATCCCAGTATGAGCAAAGCCGTCTCAGGAACCCAAGCTTACCCTACAGATCACCTATCCGATCCAGAAGCAGCACCCCAGGCAGGAGCATTACCCCAAGAGCCCAGCTTGAGTCGCCACAACATCGGACCCCAACTCATTCGTACCCCACCTACCAGGCTGCTCTCAATAAGCTGGAGTTCATGGCGAGATCCCGCCCTCCATCTCGCCCTCCATCTCGCCCTCCATCTCGCCCTCCACCTCGGTCTCGATCTAGGCCACCCAAAGGTCCCCAGAGCAACTTCTTTGCCGAAGTCTTGGAATACATACCAGGCTTCGGACCACCAAGTCACAAGCAAAATGCTATGCTAGTCGTTCTGTCCATATTTCTTTTCTGGCTTCTGGGCGCCTTTACTCCTGACCCAGGACCACCGGCACAGGACGACTCAGTCGTATGGAGTCTCGGCCATGTTGCCGAAGAGTGGTTCATTCCCATTCCAGCACAATTCTACGTTGAGATGGACCATGCTATCGCTGCCCTTGAAAATGGAGGCAGGTTTGTCAGACAGCTGGAGAAGGATGCGACGCTTCTGGACCGTCAGCTTGCTACCCGTAAATCGGAATCTAAAGTTATGGAATTTACTCCTCCCAGCTTGTGAGTTGTACCATCTCCACCATTCACATCGCCACAGTGCTAATACATCATAGGAGGGCTGTCCTTCCCCAAGCGTACACGGACAGTCGTGAGCTCCTTCGCTTCTGCGCAGACTTCAGGAACCATTCCGCTTCCATCGAGCACAGAATCAAGCAAGATGTCTTTCTTCGAGCAAGCAGCGACTTGAAGGCTCTCAGATGGGACCTCACAAGATATCTAGTCAGCTCGCAACAAGCAAAGACCTGGTATGGCAGATGGAGCGAAGAGGGTTGGCGTAAAGCTGGACTAGGACTCCCGGCGCAAGAAGAACTACGACAGAATATCTTTGACGGCATCTACGAGTTCTTGAAATTGCAGTCCAATGTCGTTAACGAACTCTGGTGGGCGTCGGTCGATGTTGAATGGGACGCGGCTCTTTTATGGCAGGCATACAAGCTTAATTTCACTCGGTCGGTAGAGGAAGTCGAGAGTGCTGCACACGAAGCATGTGTTCGGGATTACGAAATCAAACCGCAGGATGGTCGTGATCAAGACGCCCAAGACGAATGCGACACGATTAACCCGCACGGGTTCCTTAGAGATGCAGATCTTCTCAAGCACGAACGCCAGCTTGACGACTTGAAGTCAGATGCTCATGACGTCCGGATGTCTCTTGAAAAATGGCAGCGAAAGATTCCTCAAATCTTGACCGAGTATCGCCAGGGTATGGGGCGAAGTCTCACGACCCCGGAGCTGGAGGCTCGCTGGCGTGCATGGGTTTCTTCGATGGAGGAGCAAGAATTGGAGCGCAAACGGAACAGTGGGGAGCTACCTGCCCAGACAGTGCCCGCCGCTGATACCACCACCACCATAACATGGGCTTAACAAGCTTTATATCGTAATTACTGTTCAATTAATACAACGCCTGTCTGTCCCAAGTCCCAAGTCTCTCATCCACCACCTGCCCAGTGCCATGTCAATTGAGCATAGACCACCAAGCGAGCCCCGCTCAAGTGGGTCCAGCAGCAGCGGCCGCATCTCAAAGTGAACGCAACTATCTGCATCAAATCGGCCACAATTCCATCAAGAACATGTCCGCACAACAACGCCCCCAAGCCTTTGCACCGTCTTGACTTTTTCTTATCTCGACTCGAATCCAATGTTAGAAGACAGCGACAAAATGCCGCCACCCCAGCCACGAAACCTCTTACTCTGCTTCGATGCCTTCGGAACACTTTTCAAACCCAGACTTCCCATAATGCAACAGTATAGCGATGTGGCACGATCCTATGGTTTGAGTGGATTTACAAGCGAAGATGTTGGCAAAGCTTTCAACATCGGTGAGTTGACACGATTCTCTGCGTGCCAAAGGCTGATTTGAAGCTCGACAGCATTCAAAGAAGAATCGAAAAGGAATCCGAATTACGGGAAGGCGAATGGTCTGAATGCTGGGATTTGGTGGACGAATGTACGTCCGCTGAACACATATACCAGCAAAGTATTTTGTGTCAAGGGAAGCTGATTTTCTTTTCACAGATTATCAACAATACTTTCAAACCTCTAGTCAACAAATCTGGAGACCAGCCCTTGCCCTTGCCAAGTGGCATGGTAAATACGCTCTTGCATAGATTTTGGTGTGATGAGGGTTACACGCTTTTCCCAGATGTACAACCTCTGATTTCGAAATTGCGGCAGGCGCATCGAGCCAATGATTCCAAGGTTGTGATTGGAGTCATTACGAACTCGGATGATCGCGCTCCGGATATTCTCTCCTCGTTCGGGTTACGAGTCAGTCCGTTCCGGTATGGTTCGACTCCTTCGGATGTGGTCAATGTGGGAGCTGGATATGATGTGGATTTCTCGGTCATGTCGTATGATGTCGGATATGAGAAGCCGGATAAGAGGATCTTCGAGGCCGCGGAGGAGATGCTTGAAGGTCTGGTCAAGCATGAAGGCAATGGGGGGATTCATGATCCGAAGCAATGGAACAAAGTCTATATCGGTGACGAATTCGACAAAGACATTACGGCGTCGTTGAATGCCGGTTGGAACGCCGTCCTGATCGATCGCGAAATTCCTGGTGAGCGGAAGGATTTGATGTGGCTGGAGGATGAGCCCGTCGGAAGTCTGTATGAAGTTTTCAAAACAGCCAAAGCTGTTGGCTTCAGCAGTCTTGAGAAGCTGGCGCAATGGATGCCGCCCAAATGAAGTTCTCATGGGTCTGGACGCAAGTTCAAAATATCGGCAAGCTTCAATTCGTTCTTGCCACCCCATCCAGCAGCGCCGTCAGCCACCGCGGGCCTGACTTTGACATACCAATTCCACGTCCTACTATCAAGCTCATCAGGTGTAAGCTTGGCCGCCCAGGCTTCGTAGAGGATGTCAAGAGCGCGAAGAAGCTTGCCGAGATTCTGCTCCTTCTCTGCTGCCTTTGCGACGCCAGTCAGCTTCTTCGAAGTGGAAGCATCAGATCCCGGCGCTGTGTCGAATGATTTGAACAAATACGCTCGGGCAGACTGCGGAGTATAGACAGGCAAATTGCTGTTGTTGCCAATCTGAACCATCGCAGGCTGTCTCTCGTTCCCAGATTTCTTGAGAGCTTCGAGATCTAGTGCCCAAAGTGCCGGCTGTTCTTCAACCGACTCCAAACTTTCTGTCTGATCATTCGTCAACGCCTCTTCCGTCTTCACCTTCACATCGCTGCTGCTCTCATTCCTCCACTCATATCCCCACCTCCGAATAACCTTGATCGCCTTCTCGCCGACAACGACCGTAGGCTGGCCTTGTCCGAACCCCTCATCCTCAGCACTCTTACCATTCTCGAGACCGAGATACACCGCTCGTGACCTGCTCGTAATGCTCACATACGCCTGCGATAGGCTTAGTCTACTTGACAGCGGCTGCTCGGGCATAGTGTGCTTGAGCAAAATTACTAAAAACGCCAGCACAAGGGGCGCACGATTAGTGAACAGAACCGTCTTTCGCAATTCTCCCTCACTTGCATCACTGCTGGGAAGCTCTAAAGACTTCTCTAACTCTGCTGGTGGAAGTGGTTCGTCTGAAAACAGACCCTCTTTTCGTTTCTTCTTCGGTGGCGAAGTGCTTTCGTCTCCGGCTGCTCGTTTCTTTGATACCCGTTTTGCAGCAGAAATGATTTGTTTCGCCATCTTTGCATCGGGGAAGGTGTTCTGTAAAGCTTCTGCCTTGACCTTGGCGATTGCTTCGGCCGAATCGAGCTGTGCTGCTTGAAGTTCTCTCGCTTTGCTGATTGCCGTCGCAAGAGGCACTTTCGCATCTGTTGTCAGAAAGCGCAAGAGTGCTTGTAATTGGGTGGCACTCATGATGGACGTTGAATTTGTCTCTCCCCATCGAACGCTTGACTTTCTGAGTGAATAGCATGAAGACGAAGACGAAGACGCGAAGACGCGAGATGAAACACGCCCCAACGTCATGCTGAACTCAATCCTAATCAACTTTTGATGGGTTATTGGCGAGCCTGTATCAATCACGGTGAACAGCATCGCAGGCAAGCATTGTAGCGGCCAAGCTCATAACTTGGACTTGCTAGCTTTCTCCTTCTTCTTCTTCCTCTCAGTCTCCTCAGCGAATCCAGCAATTGCATCAAGCGACTCATTCTGACGAACCTGATCCTTCAGCGTTCTCAACTCGACCTTATTCGCCTCCAGCAATCCCGCTCTCTGCGTTCTCATCAGCAGATCTTTGTTGACCTTCAGACTCGCAGGCGGCAATTTCGCAATTCCTCTCACGATCTTCAATACCTCATCACCAAAGCCCTCTTGCCCAAGAATCTTGGTGACAAGCCCGGCAGACTCAGCTTCCTGAGCATTGAATCTCGCTCCAGCCAAGATTAGCGCGGAAGCCTTTTGTCTTCCCATTAAACGGGTCATAGTTAAGCTGGAGCAGCCTTCTGCGCATAGTCCCCATTGGACGAATGGCGTGAAGAAGATGGCATTTGAGGCTGCATAGACTAGATCGGAAAGTGCGATACTGTACCAGTCAGTTACAAGACATGTCTGGTTCGGAAAGAAAGACCTTACCTGGTCGTTCCCCATCCTGGCGCCGGTCCATTGACAGCACTAACAACCAACTTATTCGTCTTGATCAAATGTTCATGAATCGCTCCGATGGTATCAATAAACTCGTCGGAAATGGTTGCGCCTTCTTGCTTGACAGAAGGATCCAGCAGATCGAGACCTGCGGTGTAGAATTTGCCTTCGCCAGTCGTCAAGATTATCCGGATCTGTGATTCGGTTTCCGCCCACTCCAGTGCTGTGAGGAATTGTTTTACACTATCTGTGTTGATTGCATTTGCGGATTTGGGCCGATTGAACTTGATGATTGCTATTGATGGCGATTGCGAATCCACTGAGACTGCTATGTGGTCTAGTTTCGGTGGCGAGGGCATTGTGGATTGCCACCGGAGTCTGGCCAAGTGGTAGAGATGCGGAGATCGGAATGTGAGCGATCGTGCTGTTGACCGGAGATGTCGGAGTAGCATGTGTTCTTGATGATGTTTTGTTAGGTTTGGATGAAGGGTGAATGGCCTTGTTTATGCCGAGGTTAATGACATGGATGTTGTGATTGACCTCTACGGAGATAAGTCGTGCTTTAGCCTGACTCTTCCATTTCTATCTGACGACACTCATACTATTTGTTCAGATCAACAGACGAGGTGTAATGTCAACTTAGAAATGGTAGAGTCTTGTGAAATGTCAAAGATCACTCATGCTGCGAAGACGGAGAAAACGGTCCGCGCCCCCGGCGCCAAGGCTGAGTAGAGACCTTTTGCCGGCGGAAGAGGGTTACAACCTATAGTCACAACCGTAGTTATAACCGTGGATATAAGGCTCAATATAGTATAGCGCTCTTGCCTTAGGCTCTTGCTAAGTTATTAAATCTTCCGTATTGTCCGTATATAGTTACGAGTACGTAAATCTACCTCTTATCGCGTAGAAGTCGTATTTCTCGAGCGCCTCGATAGTAGGTAATATATTGGACGATAATATAATAGTTGCTAGACTCGTAATCGCCGTCTGCGAAGAATATAGCTTTCTCGAGCGCGCTAGGTTAAAGCCGCCGCCTATACTATTCTAACTATTTATATAGACGCTAGATACCTAGCTAGACGAGTAGGTAGAGCGTTATATAAGGTAAGTGTCGACAGTAAGGCTAATATAGAGGTTTAAGTTGCAAAAGCGAGGTTAGCGCCTATATATTACTGCCCTCGGGAGTTTCCGCTATACCTACGGTCTAGTATAGTATTAATCTCTTATATACGTTTACGAAGCTAGAAATACGATAACTTATTATAGTATTCGATATTAAGGGTTACGAATAGCGGAATAGCAATAAACCTAACTTAGAGCTCGCTCTATGCCTCGTTCTATAGCGAATATCGTTCCCTTCTCGCTAGTTCGATACTTCTACTAAATTCGGCAAATACGAGTCCTATTATAGTCTTGTCTTTAACGATATTATCCTATAGATATATTAGCAATTTGCGAAGATAATAGTATAGCATCTACGCCTTAATAGCTATCGTCGACTAAAGATATTCGCTCTTGCTACTTAGAAGCGTAGAATACGAGGATTTATATAGAGATTTATCGACGGGCATTTTAGTAGGTTCTATAGACTAAGCAAAGATTAACGACGTATCTATAGTAGATACTATAGTGTATACGGCTGCAAATTCTAGGCTATAGTAATACTAGACGGTCTTATTTCCTTACTTATTAGACTATTTAATAGTAGAGATAATAACTAGCGAATATAGCAACTCTCCGGCGTTAAACACCGCCTACGAAGGATTATAAGAGATAGGCGTATTCTATATCTCTATAGCGACCCGGCATACTATAGCAACTTCGGCATTATAGCTCCTTATAAGCATTATCTTAGACAGTCTTACTTAACGCCTTAGTAATAAGCATTTAATAAGAAGCTGTCTAGTATCCGGATCGAGGTTAAATACCTATTTAGATACACTATACGGCTATAGTCTTATAACGTATTCTCGAAGCAATTAAGGTTAAGACAATAGCCTATTAGAGCCTATTTTATAGTAGTAGCACTGCTTACTAACTATTATATCTGCCTTCGTAGATACAATTAAACAAGTAAGCGATTTAGACTTAAGCCTCTAGATTTATAAGACTACCTCTTACGGCCCCGTTCGGACCTCTTAGACGATAAAAGCGTAAGCTTAGAAGGCTAAAATCTAGTAGTTTCTAAATTATTTGAGCTTACTAGACTATTACCGAAGGGGACCGAGATCTTCTAAGAGAGGGTGTTAGCACTAGAATAGGGAATAGGTTAGTCTCGGAGGTTCGGCGTTCTCCGCTAAGGCTCCCCTTACTTCGAGCTTAATTTACCTATACCCCTAACCCCCCTAAACAACACTATTATATGCTCGTTATATATAAACAAATTATATAAGGTTGTTTACCTAATTAGTAGCTATAATAGCATATAAAAAGTATTCAATTTAAGCAATATTTAGTATTATAATAGGCGCCGACGCTAGCGACTAAATCTCGCTCGAAGTAACTAGCTAGCTCTATCGAAGAACGCTATTTATAGGTCCGGAAACTCGCTATTAAGACTTAATTCTACTAGATCTCTCGAGGGGAGCGGAGTTAGTATACTAGGCGATTGCGCTAAATTAAATTGTATACCTTACTTTAATAAAAAGCTCTTTAAAAGGCTATTAGTCTTATCGCTAGTGCTCCGTATAGAAGATACGGTAGAATTCAGAGACCTAACCTCGTTCTTAATAGATATAACGTCTACTCTAACCTCCTTCTTAAACGTTTCTAGGTTATCCTTAATCGCTAATATATCTTCTTCTATCTCTTGTCTTCGACGCTTTACTATACGGCTCTTACTACTATTATTGTCGTTATCTTCTCGCTCTATATCTCTCTTTAGCTTAATAGCTAGCACTATAAACAACTCTCCTACCTACGAGCGTATATTATAGTCCTACTGCCGTATATCGTCGTTTAAGACTCCGCCGCGATATTTACTTTAAGCACGCTTAGATTAAATAGAAGACTCGCGTTATCTACGAGTGCGAGAAGGTATAGTAGATCTACGAGAAGAAGGGGTTACTAGAGATGCTAGACGAGAAGTAGTACGTACGGATTAAGTACGCTTACTAGATACACTTCTAGAGCTAACCTAGTTACCGATAATAACCTTAACTAACGGTCTAGTATTATTTCTAGACGGCGGCGGTATAGCTTCGAGATTAGCGATATAGCGGCGCTTACGCTTAATCTCCTCGTCTTATTCTAGCTCTTCTTCGTAGCTAGGCGCGTCCTCGTCGTTATTGCCGCCCTTACCCGTTATACTATTATTAACCTTAACTTCTACCTCGTTATTACCTTTATCTACGCCCGGGCCTTTATCTTCACTTATTACTAGCGAATCTAGTATTTCTTGCTCCTTAATAAACTAGCGATTAGCGTCCGGAGTACGCTACTTCTTCGACTATAAACTTAGTATATTATACTTATCGCGATAGCTCGTAGCGGCGTCTAATTCTTCGCGCCGCTATATAATAATAGTAGCCTCCTTAGCGGCCTTATATACCTCTCGATATCTATACTAGGTACGCATTTCCGCCTATATCGAGCTAGGCTCGTCTTCTTCCTTACTAGTACTATTACCGCTCTCTTTAACGTTGAATTTAGGAAACTACTCCTTCTCGAGCCCCTATATTATACGGTCGAGCGACATATACTAAATACTAGTACTTCTATAGTACTTAGCGGTTATAAGGTCCTACTATCTAGCAGTGCTATACGAGGCCTTATAGTTATACGCTATTCGAATAAGCGCCTTCTTATTATCCTTAGATTAACTACGCCGATTCTTCTTCTTCGCCGCCTTAATCGCTATATCCGAAGTGTCTACGGCTCCGCTAGTATTAGTAGCTATTTTACGTAGTAAGTCCTTTACCCTATTGCCTCTCTATACCGCCGCATTATTACGCTTTAACTCGTTATCTACGGCCTCGCTTAGCGCCTACGAGTCGACATCTATAGGTACCTAAGAGTAGACCCTGCAGTAGTTCGGTTTCCGAACTACCAAACGTATATAGTTTAGTTTCTTAGCGGCGAACTAGCTCCCTAGTTCCGGTTTGGTTTTTTCGAACTATATAGATTCCTAGTTTGAACTAGAGACTGTATTAGTTTTACTATAAGGACACTCTTATTCGACTGCCGGCTACGATTGCCGGCTATAATAGTAACTCTGTTATATTTACTACGCTCTTTTGCCGTTACTAGGGCGTAGTTATCGTTGCTAGGGCGTAGTTGCTGTTACTAGGGCGTAGTTTTGCTATAAGGACACTCTTATTCGACTACCGGCTACGATTGCCGGCTATAATAGTTACTAGGTTGTATTTACTACGCTTTATTACCGTTACTAGGGCGTAGTTGCCGTTGCTAGTGCGTAGTTGCCGTTACTAGGGCGTAGTTGCTATTGCCGGGGCGTAGTTACCGTAGTTGCGAAAGCTTACCTATATAACGTTACGTAGGCGGCAATAATTAGGGCTTCGCGATATTCTTATACTTTCAACTTCTTCCTTTATACCTATACCGATAATAACTACTATACGCTACGCCCCCGCCCCTTTCCCTTATAATACTAAGAGAGAAGCGCGCCGCGCGCTAAATAGAAGATAGAACTAAAGACCGCGAGTTTGTTTTGCCTAAGCGTCTAAATAAAAAGCGTAAGACTAAAGAGGAGTACTCTACGAAGAAGAATTCCGTACGAGACCGCGAGAGAAAGGATAAGATAGATAAGGATAAAAGAGCTAAGGATAAAAGAAGAAAGGCGCGGAATAAGGCATTCTATCGATAGCTAGCGCCTATAGAAAAAAGTAAAGGTTAGAATAAGAAGACAATCTAAGAGAAGGCTAAGAGGAGGAAAGAATTGCGGCTAGTTTTCGAGCGTAAAGTTCTAGTAGCGTAAGTTAATCTAGCTAGCGGCCGTAGCTAGCAGCTATAGCCGGCAGCCGTAGCCGGTAGCTATAGCCGGCATATTTTTCTTTAATACGTTAACTAATAGTATTTAGACCTATAGCCGCTACCTCTATCGATACGACCGATAGTAACGGAGATATTTAGATAGCCGAGAACAATAATGCTAGAGTTTAGGATGCCGCGACAGAGCTTAATGCTACGAATAAAGGAACTGAAAAAAGCGAGGAGATACTATACGTCGATCTAGTAACAGGTACAGTCTTAGGGCCTAACGCTATAGACGATAAGCGCTAGGAGTAGATCGAGTACAGTTAAAGAGACGAGATACTAGTAAAGGGCCAAGGTATAAGTCCTATTAATCTAGAAAATTATAGTTAAAGCTACTACGAAAAGCTAGTAAGGATTGGAATCGAGACTAGTCGTCTTTATATCCTCGATATAGAGTAGAAGTTTCTTTATTAGTATTAGAGCGAAGCCTTTATATCTATAAAGGCAAA